GCTTGACTTTATATGATGCAAATTATGGAATTATGAAGCAAAGGAAAAATAAACCTAAAATATTTTGTATTAAAGGTCCAAAATTAAGTAAAATGGACTCTTGTAAGTTTGTTATAATGTTATTTAATTAAAAACATGACGTTGTGTTTTGTTTCATTCACACATGTTTGAGTAACCCTTTGTTATTAGAGACCAGTTTAAACCAGTTTTGTACATAATTTCATCTTAAATTAATTAAAATAAAGTGTAAAAATAAAACACTCATGTGTATTGATTAACTAAATCAGGATAACCCTACAAAGTGTTATGCGATTACTTTGAAAACTTTAATTTAAAGGTTGTATGGAGGATTTTTTTTTTTGTTTCAAGTTGTCAATGATAGCATTATAAAGGTGCAGTAGCCTTGTAATTATGATGACCAAAAAAAAGAGAATAAAAATTCATCAACTCTGGACGTGGTGGGGCTAAACATTTGCCAATAGATAACGACACTGCCTCGTTATCTGTGAGTTGACAGGCTGTCAATCAAACTCCCTACGTTTCTAGCGTAACTGACTTGCCTGCGCGCCGCCGGTACGTGGTTTACGTACGCCTGTCACGCAGTCCACAGACGCAAGACGCTGTTTACTCCACCAACGCAACAGTTCTTAGTGGCTTTTTTGACCTATATCTTCCTCGCAGTTAGCACAAAGTTTGTTGCAATGGCGACAAGAATCCAGGAGCAGTTAGCTGCAAAAGAAAGTCCGTTTTTGAGGTCGCTGAAAGAAGAAGACAAGGGGAAAAGCAGCGAAGCCAAACTAAGGTGATTCTTGAAGATTCATTCCAGCGATGGCGCAACTGAAGCAGACGCAGGGTCTAAAGACTGACGCATTGGTCGCCAAATTACTCCTGGACAGGTAAACTTCTGCTTATTATGAAAACGTACTTTATTTCCAAGAGCTAGTCAAACGTTTTTCAGGACACGAAAGCGATATCCTATGTCTGAAAACGTAATTTTCAAGGCAAAGAAAGAGTCCGCTTGCTGCTGCGTGTTGTAGCTAGTTCATTTGCACTGAATCTCTGCGCACTCTTCTCTGCTCCCCTTTCCTGCTCCTGTCCCCGCTGCCCGTTCCACTCTTCCCCCTGCTCCTCACTTCTCCGGGCACGGAATCTCCGCGCACCGCTCCCCTCCCCTCTCCTCTCCTCTCTCCCTGCTCCGCTCTTCTCCCTGCTCCTCACTTCTCGTCCGCGAACGAAATGTCCGCACACCCGCTCCCCCCGCTCCTCACTTCTCCGTCTTGCCTAACCAACACTGTAGTTAGTTGTTTACAAGTCACGTGCAGTGCACCGGCTGTAAACAAACCTGTTTCTGGCGTAAGGAGGAGGCGGGAAGAGGCGTTTCTACGTAGGGAGCTGTAGGGGAGGGGGGGTGGTTTCACACATGCGCAACATTTGAAAAAGGACAAACAGTCGCTGGATTTCTCGTTCCTTGGAAAATCCTCTATACAACATTTAACTCTTGATTTCAGGGTTAAACAGGAACCAGTGCTACTTAATTAACATTTCCCAAAATGTTAAATTAACTCTAGAACAGATTGGACTCATATAAATTGATTCTGTGAAAGTCAATTTTGACACTCCACTTTTTGCTGTGCGGGACATACGGTTATGTGTTACATGAGGGTGAGTTGTTAGACAGTTGTAGGGAGTATTATCTGTTACTTAAAGGTGATTTTTTTGTACATCTATATGGAGTCTGGTATGAATGTAGTCCTGTATCTCAATACATTTATACCAGTAACACAATTTAATGCAATTATTAATCAAAACCTTTCAAAAGAACTTGAATTGACACTTGTGAGCTTTAAGCCGTGTTAGAATGTTGTTACTTCATCAAAAACATACCTGGAGTTGTGTTTTGTTTCATTCACACATGTTTGAGTAATCCTGTATTATTAGTGTTACATTTTCGAGGTTCAAAATGCTCTGTTCCACCTTGTGATGTCATAAAGTGGTAGTTTTCAAGTTAACAGCTTTTCTGATTTCCTGATTTGTGTTACTCATAGTTTTAATGCCTTCACTGAAAATTAACAGTGTAAATAATCGTGGAAATAAAGAAGAAAAATGCATTAAAAAGTGCATCCAAACATTAAACTGGTTTGTAAGTATGTGCAAAGAAGTGAAAGTGTAATATAGTTTCTGCTATCTTGTGAGAAATTCTTTTGGGTTTTACAAGTAACTACCTAAGAACACAAAACTCCCTGCTGACTAACTATCAATGTTGCATCATGAGTTTGTGCAGGAACTTGTATTTAGTTGTATCAGTCCCTCCGGCACACAGCAGCAGCAACAGCAGCACCATCACCACTGTGCAAAGGCTTGACCAACCAAACACATGGTAAACTTCACATCTAGACTTAAACTTAGAAACTTTTTTGATCCACAAGGGAAATTATTTGGACACAGTAGCTCACACATCACAATATAATATAATAACAAAGAGTAAAACATATAAATAGTATTAATAAATTCTACATAAGTAACAAAAAAGATAGCAAGAGACAGGTGTCAAAATAAAACAGAAAAATAAGTAATAAAAAATAAAAATTCTCAGCTATATATAAGAGGTCATAGGAAGACAGTGCAAAAATGATGATGATTGACAGACAGCAAAAACTCGAGGGTTAACATTTCACGGTCAAAATTTCAGGAGTGGTTTTTAACACAAAAGCTTTTTTTTTTGACTATTTGAAAGTTAAATGAGGTTTCGAGTTGGGGTTATTTGCCAGAGCTGATCTGGTTTAAGTTAATTCAACTTCCCCTAGTGTTAATTTGGCACCTCCCACCCACTTCAAACTCCCGCAAGAGAAGACCAGTTTGAACCAGTCTTATACATAATTTCATCTTAAATTAACTAAAATAAAGTGTAAAAATAAAACACCTCTGTGTGTTGTTTAGCTAAAGAAGGATAACCATAAAAATGTTGTCTGTTTACTCTCAAAACATTAATATAACTTTTGATTTCGGGGTTAAACAGGAACTTTGGTCCAGTGTTACTTAATTAACATTTCCAAAAGTGTTAATTAAAACTCTAAAACAGATTGGACTCATACAAACCCTGAGAATATGTTAAAATGAATTCTGTGAAAGTAAATTTTGACACTCCACTTTTTGCTGTGCAGAACATGGGTTATCTGTTACATAAGGGTGAGTTGTTGTACAGTTGTAGGGAGTATTATCTCTTACCTAAAGGTGAGTTTTTGTACATCTGTATGGAGTCTGGTATGATTGTAGTCCTGTATCTCAACACATTTATACCAGTAACACAATTTAATGCAATTTTAATCAAAATCTTTCAAAAGAACTTGGTCAGTGTATTTAAAGGTCCTGTATTACACAGAATTGACACTTGTGCGCTGTTGTACAGTTGTAGGGAGTATTATCTGTAAGTTAAAGGTGAGTTTTTGTACATCTGCATGGAGTATGGTATGAATATAGTCCTGTATCTTAAATATAGTCCTGTATCTCAATACATTTATATCAGGTCCACACACATTTAGGGTTGATCGAGTGCATTGCAAAAGGACACAACAGCGATACGCAAATGTATCTGGGATCAGACTACCAACCGTTTGACTATCGCTACATGAGCATCCTGGCAAACTCAACTCAAATCAAAGGTTTTATTCATCAAGTTGTACTGAATAATTTTACAGTTACCAGAAAAATACCCTTTCAAAACCCAACAAAGATCAAATTGTCAAAATGAAACAAAAAACTCACCCTAAAACACAAATGCAACACTATTCAAGGTCATAAAGTCGCAAAATACCATTCAAACTAAATGCGTCGTTAATGTTTTTTGTTCCAGCATTGCCTTTAGTCACATTTAAACCCTCCAGACTTGAATATCGTTGGATGCGTCAAACAAAAACAGGTGTGCAGATGTTCCACAGTAGCTCACGGACAAAAGCTGCGTGCAGGAAGCCAACTGTGTGTGCCTCGCGTTTGGATATTTATCATCTATATAGCCACAATGTCTCTGTAAGTTTCAGCATCCCAGCCTGCCAGTCCATCTGTCTGTCTCCTCCCCGCTCGTCTAACTCACTTTTATTCACATCAGACTGCATAATGCATGAACGCACACAGGTCCCCCAAGGCCTCTCATTACGTAAACCTGTTGCAAGGGAAGCCACTGTAGCACGTTAACAACATCCATCAAAACAGAGCCAAGTGTGTTTTTGGAATGCTCCGTGATGTATTGCAGGATAAGCAGCTGAGAAGTCTGAACGATTTATTGAACTAAGGCAGCCCTGTACTTTGAAGGTGTACACTGGAGAGAACAGAGCAGCTATTTCTAAACACAAGCAGGGTGGGATAAAGTGTGCATCCCACTGAAAGAGATGAATACAAGAGAGTTCTGCAGGGCATCGGTGCAGAGAAGCAGACAGGGACAGCCCTCTGTGAGTGGGGGGAGCGACAGAAGGACGCCGGAGGATACGGGCCCTGCATCACCAGCATCAGCGAGGATAAAATAGAAACATTAAGACAGTAGTGGCAGAGAATAAAGTCTGGTGCAGCAGAAAGGAGCTAACCCGCGAGTGAACCACAGTCAAGTGAAGGCCGTCATCATCTGAATGGACGCTCTTGTCAAAGCACCGTGTCATGACTGCAGCTTTCAAAGTGAAAGATGTTGACTTGGTTTAAATAGTGAAAGGGCCCTGAAAGGATGTGAGCAAAATATTTTCACTCAGATTTAAAAAGGCTGATGTTTCTGAAATGTGGAAATTGGCAAATGCAAACCTGGAGACTTCAGTGACTGATAGTTTAATTACCATCTTTCATTCATCACATTAGCAGGTGACCATCAGGAGAAGGCTGAATAAAGATGTACCAGTTTGGGCATAATTAAGTTTTAGTGCACGCGCTTGGGGGACAAATTAAGTATGAGAAGGTCGATAAAGTGAATGGCCCGTGAGCTTCTGAAATGAGCGTCTGGAGTAAAAGTGGACGTGACTCACCGTTTGCACTTTTGCCACAGATCAGGTGCTGCCACGGCTGCAGGGAGCCCCAGATCTCCGCGTCTCCGTTGATGGCTTGCTCCAGGACTTCCACTGTAAACTTGGGAATCCCGTTGTCCCTCTCCAAAAGCGCACTGCGCAGCACTCGTGCGTAAACCTCGCGGAACAGGCTCTCCGTGCACGCGGCCAGGTAGATGGCGGCATGCTCGTGGATCCTCACCGCCACTCTGCTGTCCACCATCCACCTGAAGAACTTGCCCACGTTAAAGATGAGGCCACAGCGCGCAGACTTGCCCCGGCTGAACTTATCCTCCTCTGTGCTCATGTTGTACAGGGACAAGGCACTGAGGGCCGCGCTGATGCAGCTCGTTGACACGCTCCAGGACAGAACCATCTTCATGGCACTTTGGATCTCGTATTTGGTGCATTTGGCATAGCGCAAACTTAAGCGCTGCGCTTCTTTAGAGACTCTCACCAGGACCCGGCTGATGAGCACTGACAGCCGGTGCAGGACGTCCTGCGGAGGGGTCGGTAGGCTCATCTCCTCGTCCTTGTTCAGTGCGCTCGCCACTTCCCCGAGGCTCCACGGCACATCCTCAAGCTCGGGTAGTTTAGCGCACTGCCCGCTGCACTCCAGGATCTCGGTGTCTTCGACCAGGACCGTGTTAACAGTGTCCAGACTGTTGTGTCGACTGTGCATCGAGTCGGTTAAATGCCAGTAGTTCCCGCCATGCGCCTCGGAGCAACACAGCGACGCACTGGAAGATCTAAAGGAGTCCGCGGCTCCACCATAACCAGAGTCGAGTGTTAAATCCTCCAGGGTCCTCGCTACTGACTTGCTACTTCTTGCCATAACTGCACTTCATTCTGTAACGGAGGGCTTGGGGGGAAAGTGCGGATAAAGATTGGAGAAGGTGGAAATGAGACGGCTCGCGGTGCGCGTGGGAACAGCAGCCGGAGTAAGTCCTCATAGGGCTGTTTGGGAAAGTTGGGGAGAAGCGTGTCACTACAGTATCGGGCAGCAGCAGCAGCAGCAGCGCAGACCCTGACAGATGAGGCGGGGATACGCAGACCTGTGAACAGCTCTCAGCCAATCAAGTTTGAGAACGGAGCAGCGGAGAGATCTGATTGGTCCGCTTGATAAAATCGATAGAGAGCTATTCATGATGCCATTAACAGAGCTTATTAATAGCAGATGTAAACAGTGTGTAGATAGATAGACCTATGTGCTGCTTCAAATGTTGTTAAGCTGGTTATTTAATGAGATTTGAGTAACAAAAAGAAAAATCCCTCCCTATTTCCCTTATTATCATTGATTTGAAAGCAGTTTGAATGAAGGTTATAGGCTAATTGAACTACTTTCAAAACCATTAGTCAACTTAAGCTTTTAATTTTGCATTTTAATTTAAGCAACTGACCAGCCCAGAGCTCCATAGTTCAAGCACAGGCAATAATAACAGAAATAATACTCGACTAGAAGCTTAAATAGTGTTCGATTGCACAAATTGCAGGGGGGAAAAAAGCTTTAAAATGAAACGCAACATCGCAGTTCAATTATTGTGTTTACAGTTTCTCACGGGAATCAAGCTTTCTACGCATTTTCTCTGGGCTCATGTCTGATCGTAACATGACTCAAGACCATTAATAATAGATTGCATGCATAATGTATCCCTGTGTTCCTCCAAGGGGCAACTCATTGAAAAGACCTGCTTCACTTTCAAGGTCACTCGGTAGGATGGCTCTGCAGGTTGGAGCGTGCTGGAAGCTGCCGTTGCCCTCTCCTCACTCTTCTCTTCTCCTCCCATCACATCTTAAGGAAAAACATCTGATAGGCCAATTCTCCGACCCATCTGAAGCTATTTGCAAGAAGAAATAAATCATCCAGAATAAATACGCGCAATTAAGGAAACAAATCGACCACATAACTGAATCTTTTTCGAGTTAATTCATCAGGAAATAACTTTGTATTTTTCAGGGATGGCGTTTAACTTTCAGCAGCGCAGTTTCTGGGACAACAGCGACCCCTGGTGTTCGTCGTTGTGACCTTCACTTGGGCTACAGTGGACTGATCTACTATAGTGGTTCTCAAAGTTGTTGTTTTTTTTTGTTTTTTTTCTGGGGATCCATGTTTTAAAAGCCATAAAACTTCACGACCCAAGTCAATCACAAACTAAAGGTGGATTTGACCATTATTGAACATTAATGAGGATATTTTCATGTTGACTGGGTGAACGTGTCTCTCTGAACAATTAATATTACTCAAGTTTTAAACAATGAAAAACAGTAATTGAACCAGCAATAAAAGGATCCATAAATTGCTTATTTGGACATTAAATTTTGCCTGTTTATTTATTTATTTTTTTCAATATTCAACTGAACCAGCAATATTGGAGCAAAACAGTCATTAAAATAATTACAAAAAGATTAGAAATTATTAGAGGTGTAAAATCCAAGTCTCACGATACAATATTTATTGCGATATCGCGGGAAAGCTCACGATATGGTGGGGAGGCTCACGATTAGGGATGTAATACTATCCAAATTTCTCAATACGATATTTTCATGATATACATCTCACGGTACGATATTTATTGCGATATTTTGTGGAGGCTAACGAAACTGTGAATATGTTACTTTTTCCTCTTAAAATGCCTCAACAAGACTTAATCCAAAGCACTAAGACTTAAAAGTGCTTAGAACTGTTATTTTTTCTTGTAGTCTGCACTGAAATGGAGCAAAGGATCATGGTCTATGTAGTTCTCTGTCTTTTTTTTCAATTATTGCTGCACCAAGACTCTTAATTTAAGCAAAGAGACTTATAATTCGATATATTGTGATAGTCCACGATAGTATTATGAGAAATTATACAAAACATGTCTTAACATTCCAACATTTATAATGAGATAGGTTGGCCTGTTTGTGTTTTCATAGCGTGTTCCAGCCCGGGCTGCAGGAGGAGAGCGCAGCAGCAGAGCAGGTGAAGCATTCAGTCTGTTTCTGTGCTTTGTCTTCATTTTTGTGAGCACAGAAAATCCCAGTTCACACATATATGTAGTAGTGAAAGGAATAAGCATAGAAACACTGGCCCTACTGAGGACAGGATATTCTGTTGAAATGCTGAGCCAGAATGACGATAAGGTCACAGATCCATGTATACAGCTGTATGTTGCAGACCTACATGTAGATCATGACAAGGCAACTCCCCCAAAAAATCTCTTGCGACCCACGTGAAGGTCGTGACCTGGTCTTTGGGAAACGATGCTCTACTGTACATACGATGGGCCTGCTGATTTAGGCATAAGGCAACGATATTGGCGGTTTTCAGATTCTTGGGGTCTCTATAGATGAGGAAAGAGACAGATTTTCCTGTTGATATCACTGAAATTTGACATAAAATATCTAAAATTAAATGCAGGGAAATGGTTCAACTTGATTATTTCTATTATCAGTTCGATCCTAGAATTCACTGTATTATTACGACAAAAACCTGCATTTAAACAATATTCATTTTCATTCACTCATTGTAGCTTTTTGGTTGGAGGCTTGTTTCTATGGATATGTTACTCCTCTGTCTGGAAAGTTTCACAATATGACGTTAAACAGCTTTGCCTTACATCTATTCTGTAAGGTATCCTTCTGGCCTATAGAATTCAAAAGCGGGAGCATGTAATGTACTGAATGTGCCTTTTATAACATGTACTTTATGTCTCGGCCTTGTTATTGAAAACTGAACAACTGTATTTGCACTTTCTGTGTTTACTTTATGAAACTAGCTATTTTGGAGATAATACTGGAAATGGAACATGACGCCACTAGTGATGGGACTTTCGGCTCTTTTACGGGATCTGAATCTTATGGATTTGTACATTTCAAAGAGCCTTTAAAAAGACTGGCTCTTTTTATATCCATTTATAAGACAAAAGCCAAATGTGAGAATTGATTTTATCTACAAACTTATATATATAAAGAAATGACCAAGGAGAAGATTTGTTTAAATTGTTCAAACTGAGAGTGGGAGCGTGTTTACCCTTTGAAATTATGCATGAGCTAAATAAAACACTGCACTACGATAACGATCATTTAAAGGTGCGCTGTGTAACTTTGCGGTTGGGGGTCTGTCACCTGCTTGTTTCTATGGATTTGTCATTGCTCTGCCTCAAATGTTCCACAGTATGACATTAAACAGCTCTACTTTAAACATGAATGGTAGATAATGCACGGCCCCTGTTGATAATATTAATTGTCACCCCCATATATATGTATATGTGTGTGTGTGTACACTACCGGTCAAATGTTTTAGAACACCAGATTTTTTTCCAGTTTTTTTATTGTTTACTGTTTACTGTTGGCCAAAATCTATCCTAAATTTTTGATTAATGAAAGCGTCCACCTTTGGCAAATACAAGAGCTGAACATACCCGTGGCTCGATCTTTTTACAATAGAAATCAAATATTGTTCAGAAAGTTCTTTCCAAGTCTGTTGTCTTCACTCTTCTGTCCAGTTCATCCCAAACCAGAGTTTAAGTCTGGACTTAATTGTGCTGGACATTCCATGTTTTCAAGCTTTAACATCTTGTTCTTTTTTCCTGAGGTGGTTTCGGCAGCGCTTGGACTTGTGCTTTGTGTCTTTTATCTATTTTTTTAACCTCTAATTGTTCAGTTCTTACCTTTGTACCATTTCAAGCTCTTCATTGGACTTGCACGACTTGAATTGCAATAAATAACTGGAAAAATTTGAGTGTTCTAAAATTTTTGAGCAGTAGTGTATATGTATGTGCGCACATACATGCATGTAATATGCCTATACGCATGTATATGTGAATGTATATAATGTGTATGTATATTAAATATACTATTACTTTTGTTTTGCTTATTTATTTATGTATATATTTATTTTAACTATGAAAATAAATGGCATTAAAAACAGCTCTACATTACATTTATTCACTTTCAGTTGATTTTATAGCTCAAAAATACCTCGAAAAACACACATTCTGACTGTGAACGGTGTCGCCTTTCCAAAGATCTGACTTGTAACTTGGTCTGGTTTAGTCTCCATAAAGATAGAAAGGTTTCATACCATACTGTGAAACATTACAGACAAAACAATAACATCTCCATGGAGAAAAGCATTTGATGAACTCTCCACCAGAAAAGTTACACAATGCACCTCTTATAAAGCAAGAGCATGAGATGTCCTGAATGTGCCTTTTATAAACAGAACATTTGTTTTAAATGGTTCAAACTGAGAGTGGGAGCATGTTTACTCTTTGAAATTATGCATGATCTAAATAAAACATTGTACTACAATAATGATCAAAGGTGCACTGTGTAACTTTTTGGCTGGGCGTCTGTCACATTCTTATTTCTATGGATATGTCATTGCTCTGCCTGGAATATTCCACAGTATAACATTAAACAGCTCTACCTTACATGTATTAAATTACAAGTGGTTTTATGAGGTCACCTGTGCACAGGATCTCATTTTTAAAAAGAGCTGAATCTTTTTAATTAACCTAATCTCTGAGCAACTAGTAGATAATATCAGATCGTTTATTTTACACTGTGGTGTCAGATAACTTCAGGTTTATTTGTCAAAGCACCAGAAATTGATCAATTATTTTTTAAAAGAACCAAATTTTTTTCTTTCTAATTTGTGTTCATGTTTATCCTGATTAATGCTGAACCAACACAAGAATCAACACAAAAGCAAAGCAGGCAACACCAGTGAGAGCTTTGTGCACAAAAGAAAAAAGCATATTTGGCGTCATAATAACAGTTTTTAAAGGTCCATTATGCAACTTTTCTGGTGGAGAGTCCATCAAACGCTTTTCTCTGTGGAAATGTTATTGCTTTGTCTGTAATGTTTCACAGTATTGTATTAAACATTTCTAGCTTCATGGAGACCAAATAAGACTTAGGACCTGTTTACATGAGAACACAAAATATTTAATCTGAAATGCCTTTCGTTTAGACCAGCGGTGGGCAAACTACAGCTCTTTATTCTTTTTAATCCGGCCCCTGAAGAACAATAATAATAATAACTGTCAGTGTTTTTCAAAGTCTTTCAATAAGTAGTAAATACTGTGGGACTTGAAAGGCAGATATTTTGTTGTAATGATTTTCAGTTATGTGATATTTCAATATTTATATTTTCTACATATCCCATGTTAATTTTTTTTCTCTTATGAGGTGGATTACCAAAAAACTCCATCCATCTGCTCCTGGTCCAGCCCTTCCGTCAAATGTCAGAACCCTTTGTGGCCCACAAGTCAAAAAGTTTGCCCACCCCTGGTTTAGACGGTGATGCCATTTTTGGGGCTTGAAAATGCAAAAATTTGAAACCACCCTGCAGAGTGGAAAAGTTGAATACGTTCGGCCGTAGCGTTTCCGTCTACACTGCCCAAGACGCAAAACTCTGGTCAGATCTGCTCACGTTGCATTTACGTCACATACGTACAGTACACAAAAAAACAGATCACTGTATACACTCTAAACACAGAATAAAAGGTGAAGACACGACGCCACTTTTGTTTCTTCTGTTCACACTGTCATCATATAAACGTAGCGCAAGTTACAGGTCAGATCTGTGAAGAGGCGACCCCGCTCACAGTCAGAATGTCCGTTTTTCTAGGTATTTTTGAGTTGTAGAACCACCTGTAATTGAATAAACGTAAGGCAGAGCTGTTTAATGTCATACTGTGGAACATTCCCGAAGAACAATGACATACTGTATCCATAGAAACAAGCAGTTGACGGACCCCCAACTGAAAAGTTACATAGTGCACTTTTAACATGTTAATATAGAGTCTAAAACAATGGAGCATATCCAGACCCCCTGCCGTGTTTGAGTCATTGTTTTAAATGTAGTTAGCCCCCTGCAGTGATTTATAAAACCTGTTATGGAACTATTGTTTTGTTGTAGTCTCATTTTGAACACTTGGAGGTCAGGACATTTGAACATGTTTTAATTGAGACTGTATGTGTTATGAAAGTAGGCCAATCTTTGTGGGGGGATATTGGGGTGCGTTGGCCATTCTAAGAGAGACACCCCCACCCACCCCTCCACCCCCTCTGGAGTCGCCCCTGGGTGTAAATAATCCACTGTGTCTCCTTCCCCTTCTCCGTTTTCAAACCACTGCAAATGGAAATTAACTTCCTAAGACAGAATCAAGTAGCATCTCTGCCCTCGAGTGTTTTGTGTGGATTCATATTTCTGTGTATTTAAACCTCACACAGTCATATCATTTTGTTCTTCAGACTGACTTGAGTGCCTCTTTGTTTGGATAATGACACCTCTGCCTGAGTTATGAATATTTCACCTGGTTGATTTGTACTGACCGTGAAGAGATTAATGTTTATCTCAAGTCAGTTTATGTTGTGAACCTAAAAATACTCAGACTCAAATTTGGTCCCTTACTCATCAGTGTTCAAATACCAGTTATTTCTGCAAGACGTTTATTAAACTTCAAATGTAATACTGTCTAGGGGAGACTGCATGTCACCTGCATGATTCCATGGAAACAGAAAGTCACAACTACATTCTCTGCAGATATTTTTGTGACTTATGTGTCATGTGGAATATTATGGAACATTTGTATAGACACAAGCATGAGAATATCCTCCTGCCAACGAGAACCATAACAGAATGTAAAAGGAATTGATTGGTCAGCAGGGTTGTGGTACAAAATTCTAGGCCCTGAGTACAAACCATCTTGGTGGGCCTGTATTTCATGTTCTTCATGAAAATTGCAGATTGCAGATTTTGTGAAGGGCTACTCCATGCTCTGGGCCCTGGGTAAAGAGTATCCTTTACCAGAGGTGGGGACTTGCAAGTCGTGACTTGGACTCGAGTCACACTTCAAATCACTGTTTTTAGGACTTGAGACTTGACTTGGACTTGAGGCCTTTGACTTGAGAAGCACATTTATATCTGAATTCTTTCTATTCTGACCGTAATGATTCACATTAAGACCTTGCAAGACATTTAAAAAGGAAAAATTAACAGTTCTACAACTCATATACTCTATAAATACTCATATATAAATATACTATGACTTTATGAAAACAATTTATCTTAAATTGCAAAAATCTAAACTATATTTGGTACTTTGGTTTAAAGACTTGAAATGACTTGAAGCTCAAAGCAGACGACTAGGACTTGACTTGGACTTATGGGCCAGTGACTCAAGACTCAATTTGGACTTGCCTGTATTTGACCTGGGACTTGACTTGAACGTGAAGTCAAAGACTTGAGACTTACTTGAGACTTTCAAAACAACAACTTGGTCCCACCTCTGCCCTTTACCCCCCAGTCCAAGGCCCCTACCGGTTAGGCAAGTCCTCCCGCAGGCCAAAGAGCAGGTTTGTAGAGATGCAAGCCCACTCAGAGTAAGAGAACATGTTTTTAAAACAGCCAAATAATAATAATAATAATAATAATAATAATAATAATAATAATAATAATAATAATAATAATAATAATAATAATAATAAAATAATTATATACCGTGGCTTTAATTTTCTTAGACACACTGGTTAGCAAATTAAGTGTAAACAGCGTTAAAGCAGCTCTCTCAAACTGAACTGACATCCAAGTTGTAAATTATTTACACCTCATCCACTAAACAAATGTCTGAAAAGCTGAGAAGCTCAGTTATAAAACTAGCCTTAATTAAACAATTAAACTTGAAGGGTAATATAAGTAAAAACACAGACTAATGTAAATACAAGGCCTTCATTTTGCATTTACGACAACAGAAATATAAATAAATGAGTGTACAGGCTAATGGAAATGGCGCATGGAAGCTCGTAAACACCGCCATCTAGCGCTTAGTGTAAGAACTGCAATTAACAACGTGCTTTTAGAAGGGAAATGGATCTTACTATATCCTAAATAAATAATAAATAATACATATTAAATAAAATAAAACAAATATTACAGGAATATTTTGCGTATATTTTAAAAAAAAAAAACAGAATAATTGCCAAAAACAACCTTGCTTTTTGTAGTTTGCTATTTTAATTACAGATTGCGATTTCATTTTAATGTAATTTGAATAAAAAATAAAATAAATTCTATAGGTCAGACTCTCAGCCTATCACAAACGCCTGTTGTTTTTTATGTAAGATAACGCAGTATTCATTTGATCATAATTCGCTGCGTCTCGGGTTGGGCGGTGTCGGATATTTATATTACAGAAGAGACTCAAACAGAAACCAACGAAGCCCTGAGAGCAAATCAAGCGCACCCGACAGAGCCCAACCTCGCTGCCTCGCAAGTGTTCATCCGGGTAACTTTGCCTTTCAACGTAATGCAAATCTTCAGTCACGTATTATGTCATTTTTCGAAGCGCTGCGAGGATTTTCTGACTGAATTTAGCGTTTTGCATGAAAGTTTTACTCTTAGTGTTAAAACAGTGACGCGTGGCATAGTTTTCTAGCAGATACGAGGAGGAGTAAACAAGGAAAGCAAAGCACACTCTGAAAACGTGACCCAGAAAAGGTTATATAAGCGGCGCTCTGAGCCAATCCGCGCGCGCCTGTGTGTGCGCGTGCTTTAGTGGGAGGCGATGTTGACACAGAAAGAGACGCGCAGCATGGCGACGAGTTTACCCCATGATTTACCCTTGGACTGCAGATCCACTTCTTATTCGGGAAATCCGTGAGGTTCGGTGTGTTTTAACTTCATTGCAGCTGCACGGGGAAGTAGCTAAATATCTGCGTGTTGTATAATGTTTTAATTTAACTCGCTATTTTAGGCGTATATCCGGTCTTAAAATAAAGCGCTTCACGTCTTTAGCAGCTGCTAAACCCAAGTTTTACCGAATGATTTGAACACTGGATTACAGATCTAAGGCTAAATTGTGGTGTTTTTCGTCTTTTCGCTTTACTTTCTGATCACACATGCCACTTTTACACGGAAGACACTATTTTGTTGAAAGATTAATGGAGCAGGGTTAAGGGCAACCAGTCGAGCGCTTCTCATCTTGAATCCCAATTTGGACATACATGGACCCTTCACTTTTGGGCATTTGCAGCGTCTTTTGAGCATCTGGAGCTTTTATCTTCTCACGAGTTTCGTTCTACAAAAGGCTTCAATATGGTGGTGAACACCATCCACTGGTTTAGGAAAGGCCTGAGGCTTCACGACAACGCGGCTCTGAGGGACTCCATCCGCGGGTCCGACAGCCTCCGCTGCATCTACATCCTGGACCCCTGGTTCGCGGGCTCCTCCAACGTGGGCATCAACAGATGGAGGTAGGACTCACCTCACAAACCAAAACACAGTCAAAAGTACTCAAAATCAAACTACAAGAAGGTTTTAAAAAAATAACTACATAAAGTTATTTCTGAGTGGGCGGGTATGAATAGCCACACCCACGTTTCAATCTAATTTTGAGTACTTTAGGAATATTCAATAAATAGCCTAATCCACAGTCTCCTTATTGGCTTTAAAGCTGTTATCCTATAAAAGACATTCTGTCTATTAATCAGTCAATGGAGTCTCAGTTGACAAAATCTTTTAAGCCTAGTCGATTTATTATTTATTTGGATTATAGGATTCTTTTATGTGGATTATCTCACAACAGGAGAGAGAATTCAGAGTTGTGCAGGAGTTTTGGTGGTGACAGCTTGGACCGTTTTTATCTTGTTTACATGTAGGCTATCTGTGTAAATGGTGTAGTTGTTTTTGTGCAAGAGCCTTTAATAATGAGAGCTTTGAGCGGTACTACACAGCTTCTTTTAGTCAAACAATCAATGCACTCAAATCAACAATACAACCCTTAAGGCTCGTTTTCTATCTATTACAGTGTAAATAACTACCTCAGTTTGTTTTTGCAGCACTGTTGAAATCTGAAGCATACAATCACGTAATTATTGACTTGTTAAAGTCCATTTCTGTGCTCCTGTTTGTGTTTTTGGCCTCTCTTTTTTGGCTTGTTAAAGTTGCATACAAATCCAGGTCTCCATATTTTGCATGTTGGCTCTTAACTATTCAAACAGTCACGAGTTTGAGATTTTTGAAGTCTTTTAAGCTTAGTCCATGTTGCGTTAACTCGCCGCATTCACGTTCTATTTTACTCCAATGTTCTCTCATCCCTGAACAGAGGTTTGAGAAAGTGGGTCAGTGTGTTGGATCTGTCATTACATCATGGACCTCAGAGTTATGACCAAAACACTCATCCCACTTCACCCCTAACCCAGCAACGCCCTTATGAGTAGAGTCCTGCAATATATAACAATCAAATGAAAATAGATTAGAGTTATCCCAGTTATCAAGCTGAAATTATTTTGAAAAACTAAATTTACATACGGTGGCTTTAATTTGAGATACTGTTGAAGGTCAGCAAAGCAAAAACAGCATTTAGTAAGCTCTCTCAAACTGAACTGATATCCACGTTGTTAAATGATCCTATTCACAAACTATCCATTGGGCAAATGTCTGAAAAAGAGCCTCACTACTGTTAGTACTAGTTTATTGATTTCCTTTTTGACTCCCCTACTGAAACACTAATGCTTCATCTATCACTGAGCAAAAGGTTTATATAGTAATTATTGTAACAGGCTGATTACCAGGCACCTGTGTCACCCATTTTTCATTTTCTGAATCTGCACGTAGGCATGTCACGATAACACATTCTGAAGTACAATATATTGCTGAAGAGAATATAGACAATAAATGACATTATTAACCCAAAACATGCTACAGGTCTCCAGAACAGTTGATTGTCAAGGTCAGTTAAATACAATCAATCAATGAACCTGTCCAGGGACGACAGGTGGAAATTAGCACTGATGCTACAACCTGATGTACAATGCATCTCTCCTGTCAAGGTTAATGCGAAAATTGTGCGCTGTCCCTGTCTCAAATAAATAAATAAATAAGTGCCATTATGCCTGTGACACAATAACACCTCTGCAGGATTTCTCTCAAAAACCAAATGTACAGTAAAATGTACAGTGAATTGTTTTGTATTTTTTGTAATTTTCTTTTGTAATTGTCAAGTATTGTTAATGATGATGAGCTGCAACAAATAAATGAAACTCTTGATTAGTTTACCTTCTACAGTTCAAATCTTATCACAGCACTGAAAAATAACAAAATGTTCTTACAATAAATACTGACCATTTGTTCAGTCTATCATGTACTGAATGATAAGGCAATATAATAATTATGTAAGTATAAGTCAATATAGTAATTATATATTATATAATTATTATGACTGGCCTAAATGTACACTTGAACTTGTGACTTATTCTGCTTTAATTACAATATAATGACTCCATGTCCTGGTTTCTGTTCATTATCCATGGGCCTTTGTGTTTGCTGCTTTGTTCGAAGATAATTTGAATCTAATTAAACGTATCCTTGGTTATTCACTGGTTACCAGATGTAACATGTGACAATCATGGTTCTAGATGAAGTGCGTAAGTTTCACTGTATGTAAAGAGGCTCCATATGAATCTGTGTTCTAGGGATAATATTGGACTTTTTAGCGCAACACAAACCGATATTTTGTTTTAGTCTCAAAAATACACACAAAGATAACTGCTGAAAACATGACTCCACAGCTCTCTCAAAGGTTTGTGGTAAATACAGGCTGTGGGTGAGTTTGTAGGAAGTTTAAATTGCATCATTTGGGGAAAACAATCAAAACTGAACCAAAAATATTGGCAGAGCTTATCAGCCATTGGTTTCTCTGAATTCTAAACAATCGGTATCTGCATTTCCCATGAAAAAACCTGTATCAGTCGATCTTTACTATCTTCATTTGATCGCCTTTGTTTCCATTTATAACATTTCCTGTACCTGTTTTTATAGTTTGAAAAAGCAAGTGACGTAAATGTCATATTTCAGAATACCAGAGAACCAGCCTGATCAGGTTTGTCTTGTCTCCAGGTTTCTTCTGCAGTGTTTGGAGGATTTGGATGCCAGTCTCCGAAAACTCAACTCCCGTTTGTTTGTCATTAGAGGACAACCAACAGATGTCTTCCCTCGCCTCTTCAAGGTCTGACACTCACACGTTCGCACACACATGCATTTTAAGCTGTTAAATATGATTAAAGTGATGCAGGACGTCATCTGGGCTCCTTCTAATGTGTGTACTTTAATAAACCCATGTATCACAGGAATGGCAGATCAATCGTTTATCATACGAATATGACTCAGAACCATTTGGCAAAGAACGTGACGCTGCGATCCAGAAACTGGCCTGTGAGGCGGGAGTGGAGCTGATGGTGCGCATCTCCCACACACTCTACAATCTGGACAAGTGAGGACCTTTTTTTTTCAATTATTATCACTGCTCATTTTTTATATTTCACTTAAAGGTGTTATATTACACAAAATGGATTCTTGTGAGGTTTTAATCGTGTTATAATGTTGTTACATTATCAAAACCATACCCAGAATGGTTTTGTTTCATTCACACGTCTTTATTATGAGTCTGTCTACATCTCCAAAGCTGAAAATGCTCTGTTCCACCTTGTGATGTCATTAGGGGTGTAACGGTACACAAAAATCATGGTTCGGTACATACCTTGGTTTTGAGGTCATGGTTCGGTTCATTTTCAGTACAGTATGGGAACAAATTGCAAAACGATTTTCTTGTTGTTTATTTGTGTTTTTATTAAACCAACAATTTGTTTAACATTATACAAACGGGAACATAAAATAAATTCAAAGTGCAAATAAGCAACAAATGTATGAAATATTATAAAAAGAGATTCTGTGCTGCCGAAAGGTGAAAGTGAGGACCGGGGCGCAACGACAGTAGTTTTGCAAGGATTCATGAGGTTCAGAGGGACATAGTCAAGCTGACCGCCCTAACTATAACGCTGCGAGAAATACTGTCACCCCAATCACGGATGAGTTCCCTCGTGAATATTAAAGAGCCGATCCTTCCGTGTAGTTGCACATGTAGTGGTGGAATGTAAACACGCACAAATTGCGCAAACTCACTCGTACACAGCCCTGCACTTAACCAAATGTCCCGTAACAAAACGGTTCGGCACGAATACGTGTACCGTTACACCCCTAGATGTCATGTAGCGTAGTTTTCAGTTACCTTTTTACCTTTAGTTTAGTAGAGATTAGTAATTCCAGATCTGAAATAATCCAATTGATTCTAGTGAAAGTGTATGGAGTTTGAAAACATAGTGGAGCACTTCCTGTATTACCACATGGCATCACCAGGTAGAACAGAGTGTGAATGAAACAAAACACAACTCCAGATCTGTTTGTGATGAGGAAACAACATTACAACACACAACAGATCAGAAAATAGCGCAATATGGACCAATTAAATCTTCTTTTCTGTCATTTTCAGGATCATAGAGCTGAACGGTGGTCAGCCTCCGCTCACGTACAAGCGCTTCCAGGGCCTCATTAACCACATGGGGCCTGTGGAGCTGCCAGCAGAGACCATCACTGCAGAGGTGATCCGGACCTGTGTCACTCCCATCGGCCACGACCATGACGACAAGTACAGGGTGCCATCACTGGAGGAACTGGGTAAGTTTGACCAGAAATCACTATTGCATGAAAAAATGGAGAGGGGTATTTTGGGATTGGCATGTAGGCTGAATAAAGAAGTAGACAAAGGGAGTGTGACGCCATCTATAGGGGCGAATTTGTAGTTCGGTATTTGGAATTACAACCTTGAGTATCATGCCAACCTGAGAGCCAATCCAGAGTGAGGCTGTTTTTTTACTACATTTTACATTTTAAACACACCAAATCTTTGGCATTTTTTGACCCAACAACATGAAACTTGGGACTGCACACACCCGTTCCATTAGGATGACACCCTCCACATTTGAGATTAGTTGATTCAAGAGTTATGCATGGAATGAACAGGAGGAGATACAGACAGATGTTCCTTGTATTAATAGATAGATACAGAGGATATCAGATATTTGAAGTAGGATATGTGGAATTATGTAGCAAAGAAATAAGTCAGATAACTTTCTATTTGAATATAAAAAAATTTTAAAGTAGAATTTAACCATATATTTGATGTTTTTTGTAAAATCTACAATCTAAAAATAAATAAAAACATTGTTTGAGATGGTGTGTCCAAACTTTTGACTGGCAGTGTATGTTTTTTTGAATAGATGATCTACTCAATATTAAAATCTGGAATCAGCCAAACTATTCCCTTCTTTGGTCCCACTGTGCACATGTATTGAATGTGTGTGTTTTTGTGTGTGTTAAGGCTTTGAGACCGAGGGCCTGGTGACAGCGGTGTGGCCCGGCGGAGAAACTGAAGCCCTCATGAGGCTGGAGCGGCATTTAGAGAGAAAGGTACAACACAGAATATGCAGCGTCAGATCCTTTCAAGGGCCCAAATTACGCTGTTTTTAGATCTGCTATAATCTTGTTTCCTCATAAAAAATGTACTGGAGTTGTGTTTTGTTTTATTCACACATGTAGACAGATTAATAATGAAAGGTTACTCAAAGGTGTAAATGAAACAAAACACAACACCAGGTATGTTTTTGATGAGATAACAGCGTTCTAACAAGGCTAAAAGCTCATAAGAGTCCTTTAACTTCTTTGATGGTCTCCACTGTTGTTCTAAAACAATTTATCTTTTGACTTTCAGGCATGGGTAGCAAACTTTGAGCGTCCACGAATGAATGCAAACTCTTTACTTGCCAGTCCCACCGGTCTAAGCCCATACCTGCGCTTTGGTTGTCTCTCCTGTCGTCTTTTTTACTTCAAACTCACCGATCTTTACAAAAAAGTAAGAATTAAGTGAGATTTTTTTGCCCTTTTTGTGTATTTGATGTGACATAATGTAATAACGTTATGTCATAGGTGAAAAAGAGCAGCCATCCGCCACTCTCCTTATACGGCCAGTTGTTATGGAGGGAGTTTTTCTACACAACCGCTACCAGCAACCCGTGCTTTGACAAGATGGACGGGAACCCGGTGTGCGTTCAAATCCCATGGGACAGAAATCCAGAGGCGTTGGCGAAGTGGGCAGAGGGCAGGACGGGTTTCCCCTGGATCGATGCCATCATGACCCAGCTGAGGCAGGAGGGATGGATCCACCACCTGGCACGGCACGCTGTGGCCTGTTTCCTGACCAGGGGAGACCTCTGGATCAGCTGGGAGGAGGGCATGAAGGTGAGAAGGAGGGTTTTACCTTTAGGTAGTACTGGGCAGTGGGTCTGTCATGGTAAGAAGTTCTGAAGTTTGATATATTGGTGAAGAAAATATAGACGATAAATGATAATGCTGAAACTAATTTATGATACCGACACAATAACCCAAGAGCAGATTAAACCACAAAATTCAATTTCTATTCTGTTCTAAATCTACATATTGTTAAAAAGCCTTGAGCTGTAATAAATAAACAGCAGAATGAAATACGTTAGTACTTTATTTGCATCTGTGATGAATCATAAAAGATTGAAGAAATAACTTCTACAGCTCGAATAACCAAAAATCTCCCACCACTGCAAAGAAAAATGTACCCACGAAATATTGACCCCCCCAAAAATATACCGTAGTTTCTTTTATTATTATATATTGAGCATTAAGTTGATATAATTACCATAACAGGCCTATATTCAGAGCATTATAGACTCTTAATGGACCCAGTTTCCCTATAGCCATTACAGGGACTATAAATATTTATATATTCCATATGATAGTATAATTTTGTCTTGTGAACTCCTGTGATATTGTATCTTGTCGGTGCATTTTGGATCAGATATACCAGGCCTGAGCAGAGGTAGTTAATAATAAGATATTTGGCCTGCACCACACGTCAGCCCTTAAATGGGCTAATGGATGCACAGGGCAGGTCTTCAGTCAGCCAACAATTTCTTTAGACGACCACAGACCTACATTTACATTAGACGACCGTGTAAGTGATATACATTAGTCCATTAAAACAGATCTATTATGCAAAATCAGCTTTTCAGAGCTTTTATCCTTGTTATAGATGTTTCCCTTTCTCAGTTACTCAAACTTTGATCTTGGGCTGGGAAATTCATCAAATTATTTTGTTTTTAATAATTGATATTTAAAAAAACTGTAAACTCGTGCAATCCAGGATTATCATGGAACAAGTTTACTCCTGACTTTCTTACTTGCAAAGCAGGGTCATTATGCACAGGCTGGTCGCGGGGTCTTAAGTCTTAAAAAGGTCTTAAATTTCATGTCCCTAAATTAAGGCCTTAAAAAGTCTTAAATTATGTTGTCCAAGTCTTATTTTTTTCCACAAAGGTCTTAAATTTCATTAGCCTATTTGTTTGTATACTCAACCGGGCTGTAGTGCAATGTTAAATGGAGGGAAGGAAAAAAAACAACAATGTGAAATCATATAACGTGAATGAACGTCTAATCTGGAGTATGTGCAAACAATTCTCTGGTTTCTGACGCCGGCAGCAATGAGTAAACAATCAGTAGAGTGGAGGCAGACGTTGGATGGATCATGGGGAAGTGAGGGTTAATCCACTGTGGGTCTTAGATTCTAGATATAGTACCGTAGTTGGTTGGTCATTATTAGAATTGAATCTGTATTGACTCGTCTTTAAAAGGTCTTTAAAAAAGTCTTAAATTTGGGGCAGTCAAACCTGGGGATACCCTGTGTGCAGTTACAATTATATATGTTACAATTACATATGTTAAGTTGGTTTACAATTTCTTAAGTAGTAGCATATGATAAAAATGAAAATACACAAAGCTTCTGCCATTTGAAAGATCTGTGCATTTTTTTTTTTTTACTATTTTCTTGCCAAATGTCCCACAATATGTCTCCTTTGACAATCTGTTTGTGTTTATCAGGTTTTTGAAGAGACGCTCCTGGACGCAGACTGGAGCGTGAACGCCGGCAGCTGGATGTGGCTCTCGTGCAGCTCGTTTTTCCAGCAGTTCTTTCACTGTTACTGTCCTGTTGGATTCGGACGCCGCACGGACCCCAATGGAGACTTCATCAGGTCGGTCATCAGCAGGGTGCAGTTTGAGCTGTAGATAAAGTATGGCGTGTTTTTTATTGTCTTTTAAAAGAGGGGTAATATGCCAAATCGAGGTACTAAATGCTATATGTGCATGTTGCAGTAATTTAACGATCTCTCTTCTGTTCAATGCCTACATCCTCCATGCTCCTACACAACAATTCTCCATAAATATATAAAAGCATGATACAAAACTGTACACTACAACTTGAAAAACCTGATATGAAGTGCAGTAGTTTTATTAGCTGGCAAATATAACATTTTCAAAACAATAAATAGGTAACATGGTGATCTAAATGTTTTATGTTAGCAGATAATACCCAATAGAAGTAAAATATCCCTTCTTTAACAAACGAGAGAAATGTAAATGAGGGTGGCTGCTGATAATTATTTTCTGTTATTTTGCAGGCGGTACTTGCCCATTTTGCGAGCGTACCCTGCCAAGTACATCTACGATCCTTGGAACGCTCCCGAAGACGTGCAGAAGGCTGCCAAGTGCATCATCGGACTCCATTATCCAAAACCAATGGTGAACCACGCAGAGGCCAGCTGCATTAACATCGAGCGAATGAAGCAGATTTATCAACAGCTTTCGTGCTACAGAGGGCTGGGTACGCACATGGTCAAATCCTCATTATTGTTCATAATCCCATAACTACAGTTTGTCTTAAAGGACCTGTATTATGCAAGATTTACTCTTCTGAGCCTTTAGCCATGTTGCAATGTTGTTACCTCATCGAAAAACATACCTGGAGTTGTGTTTTGTTTCATTCACATATGTTTGAGTAATGTAGGTGTCATGTTGGGGTTTTCAAGTTAACAACTACATTTTACCTTTGGAAGTTGGAATTTCTAGAGCTGAAAGTATCCAAATGAGTCCAGTGGAGGTTCCTGTATTACCACATGACATCACAAGGTGTAACAGTGTTTTCCATTTGAGACTCAACGCAAAAATGCAGAGTTTGTGTGTTAAAAATGTGAATGAAACAGAACACAACTCCAGGTATGTTTTTGATAAGGAAACATTTATTATACAGATCAGAAAACAATGTACCATAATATAGACCCTTTAATGCAGACATGTCAGACTGAGGTCCTAGGACCCCATTTGGGTCGTGATATAATAATATATTTTTTTATTTGTTTATTTATTTCATTCATAAAGTATAAAAAGACATCAACAGTGTCACAACATCAAACATACAATAAATGAATGAAAAGGAGCAGAAAGAAGAGTCATCTTATTATATTTGGCCTGCAAGATCATATCAAATATGTATTAGAACTGCCCGCTGGTTACAGATAGGCTATAGAGACATCATTTATTTTAAATGTTGTTATTATTTTACATTATGCTTGTTCTGGATTCAATGTTTAAGCAAAAATATTATTAAACATTCATTTTAATAAGAAAAGGTTTAACATTACATATCACGAAAGAAGAGAAAACATGCAGATGTTGTGGAAATTTTTCATTAAATATTTAGGTTGGCCCACGAATTAGTCCCAGTTTTTAATTTCGGCCCTCTGTGAATTTGAGTTTGACACCCCTGTTTTAATGTATGCTCTGTTTTGTTGGATTATTCATAGGCCTTTTGGCAACAGTTCCTGCAAATCTCAGTAATGGCACGAGTCAAGGTCCGGTGGGTCCTGTGGAGGAGCCCTCAGTGCTGGAGAGACCACCCAGAACAGGTATTGTATCTGAATCTTATGTAAATGAGCTCTCATTAAGATGTTATGTTAATGAAGCTTGTGTATTGGCCATAAAACAAAAGTCCTTTAACCCATTATCTCAAGTTAACACATTTTGAAGCACGATCTATTGCTACAGATAAAAACTGCTAAAATGTTTAATGTTGAAATGAAACAATTAAATCAAGACAAACAATAAAATGGGATAATCTTAATTTTTAAATAGACAGCATCATTGAAAGGCCTTGAGATGCAACAAATAAACAGCAGCATGATTCAATAATTAGCCATAGAAGTGATTTATTCAGTTCAGTTATTGTATTAGAATGAAAATAATAAAATCCTCCACAAGAAAAGATCCCTCGGTAAACATTGAGTCTCAGAAATTATTGTTCCAGCTTCTATTGAATATGTATTGGATGAAAAGATGAAAAGTTGTTGTTGTTTTTCTTTCATTCTCATCCTTTTCTTCTTATTTTTTTAAACTTTTGTAGTGTAAATAAAAGGCTGCGTTCAATTATTAAAGGTGCATTGTGTAACATTTCTGGTTGAGGGTCCATCACCTGTTTGTTTCTATGGATACGTCATTACTCTGCCTGGAATTTTCCACAGTGTGACATTAAAACATCTCTACATCTACATCTAGTACAGGTGGTTTTAAAGCTCAAAAATACCTCGAAAAACAGACATTCTGACTGTGAGCGGGGTTGCCTCTCCACAGATCTGACCTTTAACTCGGTCTGGTTTGGTCTCCCTGAAGATGGGACAGAAAAGTTACACAATGCACCTTTTAAGTTGACTAGTTTTTGTCAGATTTACCGTATTTTTTGGGCTATTAGGTGCGCTCTTGAGCCTCTAACCACATTAAAAAACGACTGTGTGCCCCGCAATCCAGAGCGCCCCATACACGAATCCACTCGGGTGTCCCAGCACGACTTCAGTAAACTATAAAGCCGCACCACCCACAGAACAGGCAAACGCGCATGGAGCAGACAGCGACCGCGCAGCGACAAACACCCACAGACACACTCATCACTCCACACGGACGAGGAACGGAACGGAGGAACAAACCGAAAAAGCAAGTGCAATGTGCCACTCTGAGCCACAACTGAACAACTGAGTCACTGCCAACACGGCGACAATCCAGCGGTCCCAGACAGCAGCCTCCCTACACGCCACAACTGAACAAAGTCCAGAGTGACCGTGAATGCCACAAACAAAGTCCCACTGACCCATCCAACTGTTGTGTTTCATTTAAAGTCCGGTGCGGTTTATTTGTGAAAAACGTTCGAAAATAGACCATTTAATGACAGTGTGCCTTATAATCCAGAGCCTAATAGCCCGGAAAATACGGTACTAGTTGTAAGAGTAGAATCATATCAGAAACATTTTTTTTTATTGAATGTTTGATGTGTCTGGTAATTCCTGTTTTAATGGTGTCGGTAATGTCACAGAAAATGGACTTGTAATTGAGTAAAAGAGTGAAATGGATATAAAATGTCTATTAAAACCGTATCATATTAAGTGGGTTTGGTGTAAAATGGATACAGAAACTTCCAGAATAGTTTATTTGATGGAAAATATGAGGGTTCTGGCTTTCCAATGATGATTCACTTATGTAAGATCTTCACTTTTTCTTCATAATACCTTTTGTATATCATGCAACAAAAACAAAATCATCAGCAGGACACGTTTTAACTCATCTAACTTCCTATTTTTTGATCTCATTGCAGAGAGACCACAGTCGGCCCAGAAACGACGCCACGAAGAGCCCCTGACCGAAGGAAACGCGAAGTCCTGGAGGCCGAGTAAATAGTATTTTCACAACAAAGAGACACCACGTGGACTTTTCACGCACAGACCTCCATCACCTCAACGCAATAAGGAGGGTCTGTCCAAAAATCAATGACCAATAGTTAAGCTAAAAGAGGGAGGAACAGACTGGTACAAGAAAGTTTTTAATGGTTCTTAAAACGGAAGCACAGGTGAGCCACAACATATACAGGTGTTTTAAAGTTTTTTTGTTTTTTTTTAACAAACCACCCCCATGTCACACAAGACGAGATAGAAATACAATTGTTTCCCGTAAATGTCAAAGGTGCATTGTGTAACTTTTCTGTTGGAGGCTTTGTCAAATAATTTTGGAGATGTTATTTCTTTGTCTGGAATGATTCACAGTATGATATTAAACCTTTCTATCTTCATGGAAACCAAACCAGGCCAAGTTACAGGTCAGAACTGTGAAAAGGCAACCGCACTCCACTGTCAGAATGCCTTTTTCTAGGTATTTTTGAGCTATTAAACCACCTGTAATTGAATCAATTTAAAGTAGAGCTGTTTAATGTCATACTGTCATACAAGAAGATGACAGACCATCAACCAAAATGTTCCACAGTGCACCTTTTTAAAGTTTTAATCCTGTCATGTCTTTAGGCAAAACAGTCTTCCACAGTACAAGTGATTCCGTTACCATACGCATTATTATACCTTTCTAATTTGATATTTTTGTCAAGGTCTTTGTGAAAAATAGAAAAAATTTGTATGTCTTTTGATTCGTATTTGTGACAATATATCCTCAAGAGGGAGTCACTAGATCGAAATGATGATGTTTGTTTTTAATGCGGTCGCTAAAGTCGTCAAAGTTTAGATATTTGCTCTATTGTATTGACTCCAAATATTGTATTTGTTTATTCGTAGTATCACGTCACTTTATGAGGCTCTTGTGTTGACCTGTCCACAAAATCTGATGCACGATGTATTGGTAAGGAGAAATATTGTGATAAATTAGAATACTGAAAATTTGTGTTTTCCAATACTATTTTTAGGGGATCCTATCCGATACTAGTCCAATATAATAATGTGAAGAAGTACTTTTAAAAGAGAAAAACAAAATCTAAAAGGCTATTTATTTATTAAAGAAATGAAAGAATCAATAAGATTTTGAGGAATAAAATATTAGTGAAATGTATAATCATCTAGACGGTAAGTAGTGCTGATTTAAGATGATTTAAGCACTTATACTTTCTACCACTGCGGATAAAAACAACAAAGAGGCCTGTAAGAAGATGTTGATCCTCGGAGCACATGGCTACTTACGCAACCGAAACCTTTTAACCTAGGGTGACCAGACTTCCCTGTTTACCTGGGACAGTCCCAGTTTTGAGCCCTGGGTCCCCTGTCCCAGTAGATTTATACAAAACTGGTGATTTATCCCAGTTTTATCCAAGAAATGTCCCAGGTGTCCCTATTTTTGACCAATCTGATCTAAACCAGGACTAAACTAAGACTAAATCAGGACTACATCGGTTCTAAACCAGGAGTAAAACAGGACTATCACAATTTCTGACTCATCTGATCCCTGCCAACGAGGAGCATAAATTATTATTTGTTTAGCCAAAATACAGAAATCCATGTTTGCAAATGACTGTTAAGACCCAAAGGGCAACATATTTAAGGTGAGCGGGACAGACAGACGTATTTCTAGGCTCTGCACAGCCACGCAAAAATAAACTATAAAAAAAGATTAAGACAAAAGTACTAATTACGAAACTTATGACAAAAAGGAAACAAAAATAACTGATGGCCAAAACAATGACCATAAAGCAAAAAAATCCCAAAAAACATGCAGTTTCAGAGCCCCTCAGATTATGACTGACACAAGAAAGTACAATGTTAGGCAAGGCAAGGCAAGTTTATTTGTATAGCACAATTCGTACACAAAGTAATTCAAAGTGCTTTACAGAATAAGAAATACATTAAAATCATAATAAAAACAAGTTATTGTTACATGTTACACACTCTTTTCACAGTTTTATTTATACCAACCGTCCCAACCCCAGTGTGTCCCAGTTTAGAATTTTGAAAATCTGGTCACCCTATGTTAAACTGTTCTTATAAGCCAGCGAGGTAAACAGCAGCGGCTTGTCTACAGGTCCTCATTCAGGAAAATACACAGTGATATCGGTTCAGTGATTTGGTCTGAGTACTCGCCGACATGATACCTGGAGAAAAAAAAGGTGCAGTACCAGAGCTTTTGTTGTTATCGGTATCGGAGCAACCCTAAATAATCCTGGTAAACCAATTTTTGAATACAGTATTATTAAAATGTATTGTGTCTCTACAGCGTGTGCAACTTATCTGTTTGAGGGTCCGTCAAACACTTTTCTTCAAGGAGATGTTATTGCTTTGTCCAGAATGTTTCACAGTGTTGCGTTAAACCTTTCTGTCTTCATGGAGACCAAAGTTACAGGTCAGATCTGTAGAGAAGCGACCCCGCTCTCAGTCAGAATGCCTGTTTTTCAAGGTGTTTTGGAGCTATAAATGTAAAGTAGAGCTGTTTAATGTCATAATGTCGAACATTCCAGACAGAGCAGTGACATATCCATAGAAACAAAAACGTGACGGGACCCCCAACCAGAAAAGTTAGACAATGTACCTTTAAAATTTTGTGTTATTACTTAAATATGGCAAAAATCTCCCCACTATTGTAAAGAAAAAAGAACCCACGATAAATATTGAGCCCCAAAATATATAGTTCCAGCTGTTGTATATTAAACGATATGTTAATGTAGTAACTATGGTGACGGGCCTGCTCTTGTGTTTGTCTAAGTTTGGCCGTAGTCTTGTGTTTACTGCTTTAATATCCCTGATTTTATATATTATCAAAAACACTTTAGCTCCCCTTTGATCCCACAGCCATGAAATTAACGATACGCCACCAGTTAACCATTTCCATTTTCTCATTTACTGCCTGTAGACAAAGGTCATATTACAGTATACAGATTAGAGAGTAATCTGGGCCTGTTGAAAGGTAACGGTGTTTGAAAGGGTGTTGTACCTTTTTGTACATAATTGTTTCAGTCTAAAACTTTTGCATATTTTGCCTCAGGGCAGCTGTACATATTTTCAACTGCTCTGTAAATGCTTGTCATTTTGTCTTGTGGTTTTAAATCTATTATTTTTGTATAAAATAAACCATTGAATGTGCTTGAATTGCAAATAAACATGGCATAAACATTGTGGTGTTGTTGTTTCTGTGTTTAGGTCCTATATTACAGAAAACTCTTGACTCTTGTGAGCTTCTCCAAAACAGACCTGACTGGCTTATAGCGGATAATACGGTGTGCAGGTTTGCGGCGGTTTTTCAGGCTCTCTTGTGCCTTGAAGCCTGGTAACCCTGTAGTGAATGTGTATGGACTTTAAAAACACAGTGGAGCATTTCTGTATCACCAGATGACATCATAAGGTGGAGTGTTTTCTGTTTGAGAAAAGAACTCTAATGTTAAAAATGTTGGGTTTGTGTGTTAAAACACAGCTCAGATGCCATGTTTGAGGTCAGAGGTCATCACTGCAGCCAGAGCCTGTTTGGGGACACCCTGAGGGGGAAGAGTCCTGCAGATGTGGAGCTGGTGCTGGAGTCTTCAGCCAGAGCCCAGAGGAGACATTCTTACTCAGGAACATCATGAGTGACAGCTCAGAGAAGGAGGAGGTGCAGCCTGGTGGGCCTGACCCAGAGGAGCCTCATGCTGCACTGGACGTGTCTGCTACACACTTCACCATCACCAGACGTGACATGTCTACTGTTCAGCCTCATGCAAGTACTCGTAATGTTTTAATAGTTAAGTTTATCAGTTTAATTTTCATTTTAACTTTTTTTATTTAAGAGGAACAGCCTGTACTAAAGGACCAAGAGGCACAGACTGTACGGGACTAAGAGTCCAGTCTGGAGTCTGGAGGAGACTGTAGTGGCAGAGGCTGAACATGTCCAGGTGCTATGTCAAAAACCTCCATCTCTACCACTTTGCAACCCTCTGCTCCACACCAAGTCCTCTTGACTCCAGATTACCGCACTGTGAGCTCTGTAGAGGCCAACGCTCGTGTCCCTGCCCCACAGAGACACACAGAGACACACACACAGAGGAGCACCGCAGCTCAGAACAAAGCCAAAAGCCAGAATCTCCAAAGCCAGAGAGCACATCAGCCTGAAGTGTCCTGAGACACTGTGGTCCACCTCTGAAGGACAGAGGGTGCGTAGTGTGTGATGAGATCAGATTGGATGTGGACCAGTTGTAAACCATGTAAATTTGTGCATATTGTAAATATTAGTAATAACACTACTAATATAATATTACTAATAAAACATCAAACAGAATGGGTAAATTACTATTTTGATTTGATTGTAATATAATAATCTTGCGTTTGAGTTGGTGCAGTTATCAAATCTCGCAGGCTGCAGTCTTTTTAGGTAACAGATGTTGCACATTCATATTATTCAATGTCAAACAGAAATACTAAAATTATTTTTGTGGGCCTAATTATAGCCTAATCTTCATGACAGAAATCAATTTGTTAACTCCATAATGACCAGATTAATACATAACACTGACTTTATTATCTAAGTGAAACTGAAGCGCATGATCACGGTCTCCAGTGACCTCGTGAGCAGAGCACGTTATGTTCACCCGACTGCACGGATTAAAGGAGTCTGACGAGTTATGCAGAGTAGATTTTTATTTTTTTGTATTTTTTATTATTATTAAAGGACATAAATTAATAGACTACATAACAAATACAAATACAAAATAACAGATACATACAAAATGTTTTTATTTGCTTGTTTTTACACATTAACAATACATATATATACAGTAAATATTAACCATACATGCAGATTTATTTAAAAATAATCAAAACAAACAACAAAAAAAAATAAATAAAAAAGATAATAAAAGTTAAACAACAGAACAGATATACGATTAACATAAGGAATGGAGAATATTCAAATTTATTTTTTCTATTGTAGGAACATTTTTTTTTACTTTTCTGGTGGAGGGACCAACAAGTGCTTTTCTCCATGGAGATGTTATTGCTTTGTCTGGAATGTTTCACAGTATGGCATTAAACCTTTCTATCATCATGGAAACCAAACCAAACCAAGTTACAGGTCAGATCTGTGGAGAGGCGACCCACACAAAGTCAGTATACTTGTTTTTCTAGGTATTTTTGAGCTTTAAAACCACCTGTAACAGAGCTGTTTAATGTCATACTGTGGAACATTCCAGGCAGAGCGATGACATCTCCATAGAAACAAGCAGATGACAGAACCCTCCACTAGAAAAGTTACACAATGCGCCTTTAAATTGTGAGTGTCATTGTGTCATGGTTGGATAAATGAACGCGCTGTGGAGCAGACAGACTGACTGAAAGACTCCGCGTGACCAATAGCCTTTGGGATCCACCGTCACCGCCCACGAATCAGCAAACTTAAACACTTTCTACGCGGAACCACCAAACACAGACTCGGTTTTTGATGGAGAAGGAGAGGAGGAAACCCGTGTGCCTGATCGCTGCTGCCTGTCGCGGTTTGGGCATCGGGAAAGATGGCAAGCTCCCGTGGCATTTACCGTGAGTGTGCAGGAGGAAGGGAAACACGTGACGGGGTTATTAGGTCCAGATGGTTCACGCGTGTTTGTCTTCCAACATTATATTTTGTTTTTTGATTAGAAACTGCTTTATTTTGTTTAGAATTTAGAGAGAATTCCTGGTGTTGCTCCGTGCGTAAATTGCAAACCAGGACAGATTACGCATCGCACGAGGAAACAAGATTACAAAAGCGTATGCAGCGTCTTTAATGTGTTTTTTTTTTTGGGGGCAGATAAACCAATATTACTATGAGAGAAAATGCTGTCCTTACTAGATTAAAAGTTAGCCCTGTTTTCAATCACTAAACTAGCCTATAGATGTGACAGTTTTTCAAGATGGATGCTTCAAAAAAGGGAGCAGTTTTTGTTCTTGTTTAGATAAGACGCCAAAAGCAAACTAGAGCCGGTAATTAAGTAATTTAAATAGTCTAATCTGCTAAACAGGTTTAGTTAAAGAATAAAAATACTTTAGGACTTGTCTAATTAATGTGAAAAAGATCGAAATTTCTCTTAATTTTACATAAACTTGACTTTTGTGAGCTTTTAGTCATGTTTAAATGTTGTTAACTCCAGGTCTTTTTTTTTTTGAGGAGGTGTGTTTTATTGTATTTACACGTGTTTGAATAACGCTGTATTATTAGTCTGTCTACATCTCCAAAGCTCAAGATGCTCTGTTGCACCTTGTGATGTCATGAAGTGTTAGTTTTTACTTTTCACTTTTACTTTTGTCCTTTACTTTGTTTTGTTATGTTGAGATTGGCAATTCCAGGGCTGAAATGATCCAGATGATTCTAGTGAATGTTTATAGAGTTTAAAAACACAGTGGAGCACTTCCTGTATTACCACATGACATCACAAGGTGGAACAGTGTTTTTTGTTAGAGAGAAGAACTCATTTGCAGGATTTGTCTGTGTTTAAACATGTGTGACTTAAATAAAACACGACTCCACACTGCAAAGAGCAAAATCTAGCCAAGTTCAGATGACTTGAATTAAGAAAGTTTTATCATGATTTAAGTAAATTTCATTTGACAAGTAAAATTATCTGCGAATGGAACAAGACTTTTTGTACTTAAAATATGAAAATACATCTTGCTACACTTAAAATAAGAAAAACAACAACTTTTTGCATTTAAAATAAACAAAATTGAATGTTGCTTGAATTAAGAAAAAACACACTTATTCCATCGGTAGATAATTTTACTTGTCAAGCTGAATCGACTCAAAGTAAAATGTTCTTAATTTAAATCATTTTAGCTTACCTAGATTTTTTTTTTTTCCAGTGCAGGCATGTTTTTGGTGAGGAAACAGCATAACAACATCAACATAGATCAGAAAATAATAGTAGAGTAGTATGGGCCCTTTAAATTACCGTATTTTCTGGGCTACTAGACGCGCTCTTAAGCCTCCAACCCCATCAAAAAATGGCCGCGCGCCCCACAATCCAGAGCGCCCTATACACAAATCCACTCAGGTGTCCCAGCACGACTTCAGTAAACTACAAAGCCGCACCACCCGCAGTGCACGCAAACACGCACGGAGCAGACAGCGACCGCACGGCGAAAAACACCCTCAGCCACACTCATCACTCCACGCAGATGAGGAACAGAACGGAGGATCGAACCGAAAAAGCGAGCGCGATGTGCCACTTTTAGACAAATCTGAACAACTGAGTCACTGTGAACACGCCGACAATCCGTTGGTCCCAGACAGCACCCTCCCTACACGCCACAATTGAACAAAGCCCAGAGTCACCGTGAACGCGCCAAACAAAGTCTCACTGACCCATTTAACTGTTGTGTTTCGTTTAATGCATCCAGTACGGCTTATTTGTGAAAAAAGTTTGAAAATAGACCATTTAATGACAGTGCGCTTTATAATCCAGAGCGCCTAATAGTGCGGAAAATACGGTACTACATTTGTCTGTTTCAGGTCAGAATTCAAGTTCTTTATCGATAGCATCACTGGTGTATCTAAACCAGGTAGGTCACTGCTACTTTGAAATGTTGCCATTTTTACGACACAAAAGTAAAGCATGTATTTTTTTACCTCTTGCAGGAAAAATGAACCTGTTGATTTGGGGGACACGCTGTTGGTTTTCTACTCCAGAAGTGCTTTTCCCAATGGCCAATACTCTCCATGTAGTGCTGAGTAAAACACTGGAGTAAGTTTATTTTCTCTGATGTGATGTGTCTGTTTCTGTTATAATGTTGTTATAATGTTGTTTCCTCATCACAAACAGACCTGGAGTTGTGTTTTGTTTCATTCACACATGTTTAACAAACAAATCCTGCATATATAGACTGAGTTCTTCTCTCAAACTAAAAACACTCTGTTTCAAATTGTGACGTCATGTGGTAATACATGAAGCGCTCTACTCCATACACCTTTTAATTAAATTATTTGGATGATTTCAGCCCTGGAATTGCGTTAATTTTTATTTATTTAATTTTTTTTTTTTTGTCATTTTTGAAGGAATGGATAGCCAGCACATTAATAACAAAATATAAGACTAACACACATACAAAGAGAAAACAAACACAACAATAACAAAAGAACAATAAGTAAATAAAAAGAAGAGACAAGAGAGAAAAAGAAAGGGCCGTGGGTACAGGGGGTTGTGTGTAGTACAGAGTTTCTCAGTGCAGTGTTTGCATGTGTGTATTACATTTTAGGGCTGTTAAATCAAATTTGCATTTACATATTTTCTGTTATCTTATATCTTTTGTTTGTTTCTTTGTTTGTTTTTGGCAACCCCAAAACACACTTACACATACAATACATTATTCAAGCAGATAAATAAACATAACAACAGTATATTATTCTATTTAAATAAAAAAGTAGCTGTTAACTTGGAAACTAGTGCTTCATGACATCACAAGGTGGAAAAGAGCATTTTGAGCTTTGGAAATGTAGGGATTAATAATACAGATTACTCAAACGTGTAAATGAAACAAAGCAATTCAGTTCAGTCTTTATTAAGAACCCATCACATCTGGTTCATAGTTGTAAGTATATAAACCTAAGAAGAATAAACTATTTAAATATACAGTGCATGTTATAAAGTATACAGACAAGAGTGTCAGTGTCTCCACAGCTTAGAGGTGAATCTGACAGAGCTCCTCACAGGACACACTAGAGCTTGATTTGATTGCTTGGATTCATTACCTAATTCATCATCCAGTTTCACTTCGTGGAAGCCATCTGACCTCGCAGCATTAGGATTTGTTCGTTTGATGGTGGGCAGGTGCTTTTTTCATTTAACCAATCACTGCTATTTGGTCGTGACGTATGTAATGCACTGGAACGCTCAGTGGTGTCCAAGTAATTGCACAACAGCAAATCAGAGAGTAAAAATCCTCAATCTCAGGAATCGTTTCCAACACAAAATGTCTGTCTTCGTCTACATCCATCTCGACCGCTTTGTTTACTGTTGTGCTGTACCACAAAAAGGACCCAGACAGACGCTTGAGTTTGACGTCATGGCTTCACAGCTCTTCACTGATTGGCCGGTGCACGGTTTACCACTTCCAGAGTTCTTGCAAACCGTCTAGTGTATTCCGAATCCTGACCTAGTCGCTGGAAAGAAATGAAATTGAGCGGAGGCACTAGGTGGCAGTAGCCTCAGCAAGAGTCATTATGGGCCACTGTCAAACTCTGCAAACTCTTTTTCTTGAGTTAAAGCACTCTAGCATTCTAACATGGCTTAAAGCTCACAAGAGTCAATTTTGCTTCATATAGGACCTTTAATAGGAAATAACTGATTTTATTCTTTTTGCACGTTCGTCCAGATCAGCTCCAAAGCACGCCCACTTCCTGTGTAAGGACTTCGACAGTGCGGTGCTCCTGGCCTCACAGCCACCGCTCAGTGATGTCATAGAGACCATCTGGGTTATAGGAGGCGTTCAACCTTACAAGGTAACAAATCTTCATATTTCTGTTTCTGTAGCAGCACTTTCATACAGTGGATTCAGATTCTTAAAGGTGCATTGTGTAACTTTTCTGGTGGAGCATCCGTCACCTGCTTTTTTCTATGGATATGTCATTGCTCTGCGTGGAATGTTCCACAGTATGACATTAAACAGCTTTACCTTACATTTATTCAATTACAGATGGTTTTATAGCTTGCACAGGCATTTTGAATGGGAGCGGGGTCGCCTCTCCTCAGATCTGATCTGTAACTTGGGAATTGTTTACACGAGAACGCTTGCGGGTAAAAATAAACAACAAAATATTTTATCAGAAGTGCCTTTCATTTAGACCAGGGGTGTCAAACTGACATTCACAGAGGGCCAAAATTAAAACCTGGGATTAATTTGTGGGCCAAACTAAATATTTATAAAAAAAATTTCAACAACATCTGCATGTTTTCTCATCTTTCGAGACATGTAATTAAAAAAAAAATTCTCATTAAAATAAATGTTTGCTAATCATTTTGCTTAAACACTGAATCCAGAACAAGCATAATATAAAAAAATAATAACAACATTTTAAATAATGTCTCTATAGTCTATCTGTAGCTGGCAGGGCAGCTCTAATACATATTTGATATGATCTCACGGGCCAAATATAATTATATCGCAGGCCAAATTTGGCCCCCGGGCCTGATTCTGACGTGTCTAGCCGGTGATGCCGTTTTTGGGCCGTTTGAAATCTGAAACCCTACAGAGTGGAAAAGTTGAATATGCTCTGCTATAACATTTCAGACTACACTGTCCAAGACACAAAACTCTGGTCAGATCTGTTCAGGTCGCATACACATTTACGTCACATACATCACCACCTAGCTGCCTGGAATGCATATCCAATCGAATTTCACACACTTTTGCGTCACTGTATGCACGCAGATTTCCTCCTGAAAACACTCATCTAAACGCGGAATAAAAAGTGAAGACACGACGCCACTTTTGCTTCTTCTGTTCAGACCGTCATCATGTAAACGTAGCCTTGGTCTGGTTTGGTTGCAATGATGATAGAAAGACAAAGTACTAATATTTTCATGGAGAAATGCATTTGACGGACCCTACACCAGAAAAGTTACACAATGCATCTTAAAAGCAACATTCAGCGTTTACCTTGGCAATGTCTCTAAATGTCCTTTGCCCTCATATTAAAGCTGCTGTTGGTCACCAAGGTCTTTCAGCGATGAACAGTGTTTGCATTTTTATCCATTATCTTTCATTACTCCGGCTGAATTAGACATGTCGTATTTTAAACACGAAGATATTCGAGGCGTTCACATAACAGAAGACGATTAACATCACCTCACTGACCCCATCGAGATCACAAGAGCAGCAGCTGTCCTCAGCTGACTTAAAATATGACTCTTTTCCTGTGATCCAGTGTGTTTATTAGAGTGTTTATTATTTATTAGATTAAGTGGAACATTGGAGTACACACACGCACACGCACAACAAACAGACACACACACACAGAGACACAAACACGCAATCAATAGTGAAACTGGTCAAATATATCATTATATATTGTATTAGGCGTGAATATTGAAATTTGGTGATTATCATGACCAAAATAATTACAGTTTACGTTTATATCATTATCATCATAATTATTAAAGTTGCTGACAGTTTAAAAATGTTATGGATATGAATAATTATAATTTTAATGTTATGAGTAAGTTCGATGTTAAAACAACCCTTTTTATCTTGATAAACAATATTATTGTTTGTTGTCCCGTCCCTACTGTGTATTAGGCCTATTACGATCACACATTCTGAAGTGCGATACCTTGCTGAATAAAATATAGACTATACATGATAATATTAAAACTAATTTATGCCTCTCACACAATAACACTAAAGCAGGATTTCCACAAACAAACAAAAAAAACTCTAAAAGTACAGTCTATTAATGCAAGGAACATCTGTCTGTGTCTCCTCTTGTTGGCTTGTTTGTACGTTTGTTTGTTCCACGCAAAACTCTCAAACCACTCCTCCGACTGATCTCAAATTTGGAGGGTGTCATCCTAATGGTACGAGTGTGTGCAGTGCCAAGTTTCATGTTGTTAGGACAAAAAATGCCAAAGATATTGATCAATCACACAATAGCACTCCATAGCCATTCTGTCACATTTTAAATACCATTGTTAATGAAAATGAGCTGCAGTAAAAAAATAAAATACCCAAGGAGTCATAGAAGTTATTTACTCTTTTCTCTGAAGCTCAAAAATAATTGCAGAACACAAAAATAGCAAAAAGTTCCCCACTATTACAAAGAAAAAGTACATCTGACAAATATTAACTTCAAAAAATATACTTCCATCTCTCATATACTGAACGATAAGTTAATCAATCTAGTAATGCAAGGGACGTCTGTCTGTGTCTCCTCCTGTTTGTTTGTTTGTTTTTTTGTTTGTGTGTTTGTTGGTTTGTTTGTCTGTTCCATTCAAAACTCTCAAACCACTCATTCGACTGATCTCAAATTTGGAGTGTCATCCTAATGGTATGGTGTGTGCAGTGCCAACTTTGATGTTGTTAGGGATCACGACAGGCCCACTGTGTGCTGTACACACAGTATAAAACTCTGCCCTTCTCCTCAGGACGCCTTGAAGCACCCCTGGTGTGACCTCATCTATCTCACGGACGTCAGGGCAACGTTTGACTGTGACGTTTTCTTCCCAGAGTTTGACAAACGTGTTTTTCAACTTCAAGACAAGTATGAATCACCCTCCCTGTTTGTTATTCATATTTATATTGTTAATAATTATGTTTCTGTACGTCTTTCAAATCCAGATTTCCTGGGGTGCCGAGTGAAATTCAAGAAGAAAATGGAATACAGTTCAAATATGAAGTTTTCAAGAAAAAGACAGATCTATAGAGATGTGTTGGTTTAAGAGAATATTTATACCTAAATGGTGCATAACTCACTTCTTGCCTTCAATTTTCAAATGCATTTTAAATTATATATTTATGCAAAGTATAGTCTTAACAATTTCGATGTGACCTTTTATACTGCACTAATTCTCACTCCGAAATGTCTGCGTTTGATATGTGCGGTTCTGTCTGTTACTAGTGAGCGCTGTCATCTCCACCTCCTCAGTCTCACAGCTGCAGTGAGAATATGCTGTTTATGAGTCAGAGCAGCCGTGTGACTGCACCAGGTCTGTGTCAGAGCCAAACACACAGATGGTGAACGCACAATGTTGTGTGATATGATGATGAGGATGTATTGTGAGCTACACTGTGATGATGACTGGTGTTGTAATAAAGCTGTTGTCGAGCTAAATGAGAAGGAAGTTAATGACCAAAGAACATTGGCTGTGTAAAGAAGCGTTCACGAGACTAGGGGTTATAGGAGCGATTTTTGAGCAGAGTTCTGTATTTGGAATAATAGTAATAGTATTTGTTTACTTGGTCATTTTGCAGCACTACAAAACAAAACAAAACAGAGACTACAACCCCATGGATTATGACCGAAAGAGTTTAGGCTGAAGTAAAAGCACTTATAACGTCAAACTTTTCTAAACAATGACAGAATTCCAAGCATAAAAAACAGTGTATGAACAGCAAGTTTGCATTTACAGTTTCACTTACGACTTACTGTATATATAAGAGACAAAATATAAATTAAAATTAACCAAATTTAATGCATAATTCATTCCAGAGCTCTATATTTTGAAAACATAACACTTTATACTTTTTTTTTAAGACTTCAACAGTGTTATCATCACCCCTCTAACAGAAATACAATCACTTTTTTCTTAGTTCTTATCTTCATTTTTTTAAAGATATTTTTTTCCCCGTTTATGGTCATACAAACTAATAATAATGTTAACCAAGGCACAAAAGTTTAGCGTTTATGATTGTACAAAAAAAGATTATACAAAAACTCTACTCCACATTTGAGAGTGGAGGAACACAAATTTATTTGCAGACAAAAATAGCAAATAAAAACACCAGAATCATGTAGAATGAGTCAATACCAACAATTTAAGACCAAAATGATGATGCAGTTACAGCGAGGGGTGACAATTTTTCAATATAAAGTCAATTGGAGCCAGAGTTGATGGAGCCGGAAGTGCCCCCATGCTCACTTCCTATTTAACATAAGGGGGATAGTGGATTACCTATGTCTATTTTATATATACAATCTTTACTGAAGAGATATGTGTTATTTAAATGTAAAATATGCAGAATCTGATAGAGTTCATTTCTTTTTCTAGCTGCAATACCTAATTTTGCCACTAGATGGAGCCAGACGTTTAGTGTATCTGTATATTTAGATATAATGGAGCTGATTAAATGGTTTGCTGTTGCTTGAATGTGCAGGACAGCAGAGGCTACAAACACCTGAACGCCTCACGACCCCATTCACATGTAAAAGTCAATCACAAGCTCGTTCAGACCTGTAAAAATGAAGGCCGTTATTTGAGGAGCTCAGAAATGGACAGTGTACAAGGCTTCAGCCACTGTGCTTAAGTACCATTCAATGAAGAAAAGTCACAGGAAACAAATTGAAAAACCATCCAATGTGGAAAATAACTGGGACGATTTAATATTTTTAAATGTTTTCTCAAATCACCTGCCTGTGTATGCACTTTTGAGCCTAAAGTGTTCAGGACTGAGGGGAAAAAGCCTGCCAAAAGTCTGTAATACTAAAGAGAAATATTGTGATAAACAATAACAATGAAATTACTTCGAGCCACTGACACAAAACAGGATAATCCCAGTAAACCCGTTTTAAAAAGACAGCATTAAAAGGCCAGAGCCGCAACAAATAAACAGCAGAATGAAGTAATAATTAGCAATTGGAAGTCATTTATTTTAATCTCTGCAGCTCAAATATTACCTCATGAAAATGGCAAAAATGTCCTCACTATTGCACATAATATATAGTGAGTTCTAAAATATTATAAATATTGTTCCAGCTTTCATATGTATCTAACACTAAGTCAATATAGTAATTATTATAACCAAAAGCAAAAAAACATATATGTATCTATGTATGTATATGTTTATAATTTATTACCAGTCAAAAGTTTGGACACACCATTGAATGTTTTTTTTATTTTATTTTTTTTATTATTATTATTTATTTTTACTACTTTCTACATTTTAGATACACAGAGAAGACATCACATATATAAAGTAAGATATATGTAATTATGCAGTGAAGAAAAGTTAAAGGTGCAACTCTTCTAGTGGAGGGTCTGTCACCAGGAATGTTCCACGGTAATGACTTTAAACTCACATATCTAGCATTTATTCATTACGGGTGTTTATATTTTTCAAAAATATAATAATTCTCTCTGTGAATAGGGTCGCCTTTCCACAGATCTGGCCTGTAATGTAGCCTATAGCTGTCTTCCATGAGATACATACAGTATGTTTCATCTGTATGTATCTCATGTATCTGTGTGACCCAGTCTTTGTTTCCCAAAGACTGGGTCATGACCCTCAGGTGGGTCACAAGAGATTGTTTTGGGGTCATCTTGTCAGGATCTGCATGTAGATCTGAAATATACATTTCTGACACTGATCTGTTGCTCTCTCTTCCTGCACCCCGGACTGGAACACGCTACAAAAACGCAGACAGGCCCATCTATCTCATTAGAAATGTTGAAATGTTAAGACATGTTTTGTATAATTTAGAATGCTTTTATATATATATTTTTTTTTTTTGACTATTTTGTTACAGTATTGCTGGTTCAATTGAATGTTGAAAAGAAAACGAAATGGGCTACATTTAATGTCCAAATAGGCGACTTATGGATCCTTTTTATTGCTGGTTTAATTACTGTTCTTCATTGTTTAAAACTTGAGCAATACTAAATGTTCAGAGAGACACAATCACTCAGTCAACAGTAAAATATCCTCATCAATGTTCAATAATGGTCAAATCCACCTTTATTTTGTGATTTACGAATAATGGTCACGAAATTGGGTCATGAAGGTTTGTGACTTTTAAAATATTGGTCCCCAGAAAAAAAGTTTGGGAGACACTGATCTATACCATGGACATTCTCCTTTAAATAATTCATATACTTGCTTATATAGAGAGTAATTACACTTTTTTCTTCCCTTTACTATATGATTCCATATGTCTTACTTCATATATTTGATGTTTTCTGTGTGGTTCTAAAATAAGCAGTAGTAAAAATAAAGGAAAAACGCTGACTGAGGGTGTGTCCAAATGATGGGTGTTGTGAGTATTGGCTTGCGCTTGTGATGCTGCAGTCTTTGTTACTCTTAAGGTATCTTTTTGCTTCAGCTGGTTCAGAGTGCTAAGGTTTAACTTTCTGCACCATTGTCACTCCAAAAATATAATATCATTTTGTTGAAAATTTGATATTATGCATAATAAAAGTGGAACAAGTGAGTACAGTTTGAGGTCCTATGTTACACAAAATGGATTCTTGTGAGATTTAAGCCATGTTATAATGTTACCTCATCAAAAACATACCTGGTGTTGTCAGATGAAGAAAAACAGTAGAGTGCATCACTGGGTCATAAAAAAGTCATAAACAGCAGTACAGGTGCTCTACGAGGGTTAAACTAGTAAACTTAACAGAACGTTGCCCTTACAAAAAATGTAAAAGTGGGCAAGGTACAAACCAGAGGCACTACAACTGGTCTTCATCATCTTGCTTCGTCATCTTCGTCCATCTTGCTGGTCAAAAAGAGTTGGCGTCCCTCCATGTAATAAAGGACTTTTAATATATTCAGTCAGAGTGCCTCAGGTTTGTACCATGTCCACTTTTACATTTTTCAGTAAGGGCTACGTTCTGTTAAGAATACCTGGAGTTGTGTTTTGTTTCATTCACATTTTGTTTGAGTAATCCTTTATTATTAGTTTGTTTACATCTCCAAAGCTCAAAATGCTCTGCTGCACCTTGTGATGTCATGTAGTGGTAGTTTCCAAGTTAACAGCTGCGTTTTACCTTAAATTCAGTAGAGATGAGCAATTCCAGTAGCCCTGATTCATCAGCTGGTTTCCATGAAGTGAAACCATCTGACCTCGCAGCGTTAGAGTAAAAGTAAAGCGTTAAGTAAAAGTTACAGTTCAAGTTTAAAATTATACGCAAAGAATAAAAAGTAAACGTAGCTGATTTGAGGTCATATAAAGCTTCAAATGTCATGATTTTGATAAAGATTTGTGCTGAATTTTGTTCAACAGAAACAACTGGATCAATAATTTTGTCTTGGCTGTTTTTATTCGTATATCTTGGTTTGCTCAAACTACAAATGTTGAAACATAATAAACCCTCAGCTTTTTCAGCAGGTCTCAAACTATAATAATATAACATAATAAAATGTAGTGGAGTAGAAAGTACAGATACCTGCTCTCAAATGTAATGAAGTAAAAGTCAGCACTATCCACTTTTAAATGTACTTAAATTGCCTATGACAAATTGGACTACTGATTTCAGTTAAGATCATTATATTTAAGATTGGAGTGGTGTTTTGTTTCATTCACATTTCATTTTGTTTGAGTAACCATTTACTATTAGTTTGTCTACATCTCCAAAGCTCAAAATGCTCTGCTGCACCTGGTAGTTTCCAAATTAACACCTTTTTACGGTTTTACCTTAAATTCAGTAGAGATGGACAATTCCAGTAGTTTGATTCATCAGCCAGTTTCACTTCATGGAAACCATCTGACTTCGCAGTATTAGGATTCGTTCGCTCGATGGTAGGCAGATACTTTTTTTATTTAACCAGTCGCTGCTATTTGGTTGTGACGTATGTAATGCACCGCTAACAGGGCATAGTATATTCAGCTTTTCCCAAATCCTGTAGGAAGAAGAACAATAACATCTTTCCCTTTGATAAAATTCACCAAACATTCTCTTTATTCCGGCTTTAAATCCTCGATCTCGGGAATCGTTGCCAACACAGAATGTATGGCTCTTCGCTGATTGGCTGGTGCCCGAAATCACTTCTGGGGTTTTTACAAATCGTCTAGTGTATTCTGATTCCTGACCTAGTCGCTGTAGAGAAATGAAATTGAGCGGAGGGAGTGGCTACAATTCCAGGGCTGAAATCATCTAAATGAGTGTAGTGAAGGCGTATGGAGTTTAAAAACACAGTGGAGTACTTCTTGTATTGCAGCATGACATCACAAGGTGGAACTGAGTGTTTTTTGTTGGAGAAAAGAACTAGCACAATACAGTCTCTTCAAGTCAACTCAATATATGCTCTTAAAATAATACAAAAGTTTTTTAGGGAGCACTATGTGGTCATAAATATATTATTGCTTCATTTACGCAGCTGTTCTTGCAAAGTTAAGATGTACAAAAACAATATGCTAATATGACCCAGCGCCACGTTTGAAATGAAACAATTTACACCAGCCGTTATTAACCTCTGCAGCTCGCCTGTGTAATTCAGGGCAGCGTGCAGGATGACAGGGCAGCCCACAGAGGACAAAAGAAATAGAGGTGACTTGAACACTCCACTTGAGGCCTTGTCTGGCTCACTACATCCTGATTAACTTCTCTTATTTATTACTAAGCACCAGTGAGAAAAAAGGATCTCATAACCTTGTGCGATGAATTCAATAAAATGTCATTGGAGTGTGTTAAATTACTAACCTTTACTGTCTTGTGGCGGAGTTTGTGCTGTAGTCCTTCGGGGGAAGTCTGTGTTGTGGTTTTCAAAGTGCTGTCTAGTCAAGCATCCATCTGCGTGGCTCCGGTTCATTACTGAGACGCACTCACTTTCACATCATCTGCCCAGTGGCCATCTCCATGACGACGGGACCACGGCGGCCCGGGTGATGCAGCCTGGCGCAGGAGAGGGTGGAGGAGACGTTAGTGCGCACGAAGATCCCGCAGGACGCCCAACCTCTGCCCAAACATCTGCCCAAGTCTTTGCCAGGGGTGGAAGAAGTGAAAGTACAGATACCAGAGTAAAAATAAATGAAAACTCATGTTAAAGTAGAAGTATCACATGAAAAAATCTACTTAAAGGTGCACTGTGGAGCTTTTTGGTAGGGGGTCCATAACCTTTTTGTTTCTATGGATATGTCATTGCTCTGGAATGTTCCACAGTATGACATTAAACACCTCTACCGTACATTTATTCAATTACAGGTGGTTTAATAGCTCAAAAATACTCAGAAAAACAGGAATTCTGACTGTGAGCGCGGTCGCCTCTCCACAGATCTGACTTATAACTTGGTCTGGTTTGGTTTCCATGAAAATAGAAAGGTCTAATGCCATACTGTGGAACATTCCAGACAAAGCAATAACATCTCCACGGAGAAAGGTATTTGACAGACCCTCCACCAAAAAAGTAAAAGTATTTAAGTACCAGTTTAAAAATGTATTTAAAGAGTAAAAAGTAAAAGTAGCAGATATGAGGTCATATAAAAGTTCAAATGTTGAGATTTTGAAGATTTGTGCTGAATTTTGTTCATCAAAAACAACTGAATAAATAGGTTTTTAATGGTTGTTTTTAACTGCATATTTTTGTTCGCACAAACTACAAATATTGAAACATAATAAACCCTCAGACTTTTCAGCAGGTCACAAACTATAATAAAAATTATTTTACTTTTCTGTCAAGTTCATAAATATAGTGGAGTATAAAGTACAGACACCTGCTCTAAAATGTAATGAAGTAAAAGTAAAAAGTATCCACTGTGACAGATTGGATTACTGATTTTACTAAAACACAGTTAAGATCATTATATTTAAGATTTTTGCAAAAATATTCAGTCATTTTCACAGTTTGGACATTTATATAGGTTTAAAATTGACTTCCTAGTTGGGAATTGTAACATCACACTGGGCAATTCTATAACTATTACCCAGTAAAACTCCTCTAATGTAAACAGAAACTATTATTTGACAAATACAAATGTAAGAAAACATATGTATTTAGTTGAAATCATGTTTAGTGTGTAAAATGTGTTGAAAGTTTGTATAGAATTATCCCTAGTGTGATGACATCCATGTTTGAACTTTCTGCTTCCTCTAATTTAAACTTTTTTTTTCAATTTTCCTTCGCAAATTGCTTCTTGATTGTTATCAAAGTTATCAGAAAGGGTGAAAGTAAAAGGCTCGAGACCAACTGGACGTCTTAAGCAGGAGAAGTTTATTTACCATCAATACAGGTCCTGGGGGGACAGTATGATCTTGCTTCCAAAGGAGGAGGTTTATAAAGCAAGTGGTGAGACTATATATGAAAGCCAGTTAGACAGCAATATGACACAATTTAGATAATGGTGCGCCAATGGTGTGCCAAGGGAAGGTCATGGTGTAAATATTTATAACTTTTGTGAGTCAATGTTAAACTGAGATGTACGTGGAAGATAAATTACTTAAATTCTCTTACATTGATTGGTGTAAAATTATAATTTATATTTACAGTAGTTTTAATTGTAGCAAATTAAATCAAAATCAGAGAATCATAAAAATTTGTCATACGCATTTTAAGTAAAATACAGATACCTTATTTTTTTACCTAAATACAGTTCTGTATGACTTTTACTTCATTACGTTCCCTCACTGGTCCTCGCTGTGACCCCTGTCGCCCGCGTTAGAAGGAGGACATCTTGAGGCAAAAAGTCAGAGCTTCATTAGCAAAGGAAGTCTTGCCCATTAAAACACAGTCATACGCAGCATCCCGAGGCTTCTGTCTGCTTTTCTCATGCAAGAACATCTCGTAATGCCCCCTCAGACAATGCTCAGTATGATTGCGTATTGATTTAGCCTTTTCCCTTTTTTGTCTCGCAAAATAAAAGCATCGACCTTAAAGCCATTTTGCTTATTTTTCTATAATGAAGCCAGACTTGAAAAGCTGCATAACAGAAGAGCTCACACATAATGGAAAATCAATTTTGCATAACTCAGGCGAAGACCGCAGAGTATGTTCAAATAAGCCACGACTAAATCAAAGAGAAGGTACTTGTTTTGTCTCCCCTTTTTATGTCTGTGCGTGAGTGCATTAGAATTCACTTGAAATGATAATGAAGGCACATTTCGGCAGTGAATAGCTTATAATAAAGTGTCTCCCTCGGTAAAGTAACACTAAAAATGAGAGTAGCTGTTAGGCCCATCCCTGGAGGAACAGTTGGGCTGCCACGAACAGTGTGAAAATGAGACACTTACAAGGCTGTTAATAAAAAGGTTGTAAAGTCCTAATAGTCTCCAGTCATGAGGCTTAATGCAGTTGATAGACCAGTCTGCACCTCATATTTTACCTTTATGTGCCCATTTAGCCAAGGTAGCTTGTAAATATGGAGTAATAAAGTCTATTTGCCTTTAACTAAGGAGCCTAGAAATCTTAAAGTCCAGCAGTGAATGTTAAAAGGTAGGACTGCACAAACACAATATGTAATGGTGTGTGGGGAAAAAAAAAAAAAAAAAAAAAAAAAAAAAAATATATATATATATATATATATATATATATATATATATATATATATATATATATATATATATATATTTCATTTATTTATATATTTATTTACAAATAAAAACTATAAAAAAACAAATATATAAAATAAATAAAAATAAATATACATACAAATATAATAAAAGATATAAATATAAATAAAAAATAAAATAAAATAAAAAATAATTTAATTTAATTTAATTTAAATAAAAAAATTTAATAATCGTAAAAGATGACAAAAATAAATTATGATGGCGAAAAATTAGTTAAGCATTGTGACTAAAAACATTTATTAAAAAATGGGGGGAATAAAAAAAGAGAGAAAGGGAAATTAAATTGGCCAAAGGGAAAGGAATTTTTTTTTTTTAAATTGCCAAAATATAAATACAAGGGGACCTAGCAGTCTGGTTATGCTGCACTACCACATTACTTTTGTTTTATTTAATTAAATTTTATATTTGTTGTGGGTATTGTTGTATGTTTTTGTGTTTTCTTTTTATGTTAATTATTGTAAAGAAATTGTATTCTAAAGAAAAAAAAAAAAAAAAAAAACCCAAGATGTACCAGTAATCACTGTACAGTTACAGGTATATAAAAGCAAACCATTATTGATTCTTTGCAGTGATGTCACGCCAGGGATGTTCTACATGTATGTGTATAGCAGAACGTTCATCAGTTATCATGGTGACACAATGCACACGTTAGAAAACAGAGCCAAGAAAGTTGCAAACTCAGTCAAAACATTTTTAAGATGGTCTGAAAACTCAAAATCGATTTAAACAACAGATTTTCAAGAGGCTGTGATCAATTCGAGCATGCATGGTCCTGTTTCAACAAAAAAGGTGAGAGTGACTAAGTGAAAAACTGTTGGCTTGTGACTGTAATGTTATGTGTACGAGACTTGTTTATCAGCACAAATCAGCTCGTGTTTTAGTTCCAGCTTAGTCCACACCCCAAGGAAATGTTGACGATATCAGCTGCAAAGTATCAATTAACAGTGTGATTATTGTTACTAAAACAGAAAAACACTTACAGGTATATTTTGTTTTGTTTATTGACATTAAAGTGGTGCACACATTGGAATAGGTTGAACTGTAAATTGAGAGATGACAGTTCAAGTTAAGGATCAACCTAATACATAGTGTCTTTGTGTGCAGAAGTTAACATTTAATACAATTACAATAAATAATAGCACCAATATAAGGCCTGTCATGACAATTACTATATCAACCGATCTTTCAATACATTACAGATGGGAATAGAATAGTTTTGGGGGTCAGTATTTATCATGAGTGCTGTTTTCTTTGTTCTAGTGGGAATTTTTGGTTATTCTTTCTGCAATATGATACAAGTTTAGGCTGTAGAAGTTTGAATAATGAATTAAAACTATACAATCTAATTGCTAGAGATTGGCATTGCAGCTCATGTTTTTTTAACCATTTAGCTGCATTTAGAATGTTTATTGGGGGATAATTCTGCTTGGTTTGGTTTATTTAATTTATATGTTTTATATACAGGGTGTCCCAAAAATTTTACATCATTTCGCAGGCCAATAATTTTGTCAATTCTAGTTGAAATAACTTCATATTTTCACAGAATGTAGAGAAACAGATCAAGATTTTATAGTTAATGTTTTATTTTTGTTCTGTTTTCAGGATGAGTTGTTCACTTCCAAAGAGAAGTTATTTTGTGTCTTGGAATCTGCTCGCACACAATCACCCAAGACTGTGCAGGCTTCAACGCGAAATTTGGAAAAACTTCACCAACTGGCAACCAAATTTGGACTTGGTACCAAAACTTTAAAGAGGAAGACTGCTTATCCAGGACTAAAGGATTACGTATGTGGAAGCAAAATGACTCAACCTGAAAAGAGAACAAAAATAAAACATCCATCTGTACATCCATTTTCTTCCACTTATTCGGGACTAGGTTGCAGGGGCAGATTCCAGGTCCTAGACTTCCTTCACCCTGGACACTTCCTCAAGGTGTTCCCAGGCCAGCCGAAAGTCCCTCCAGCGTGTCCTTGGTCTTCCCCAAAAAATAAAACATTAAATATAAAATCTTGATCTTTTTCTATACATTCTGTGAAAATTTTAGGATATTTCTAAAATTATTGGCTTGCGAAAAGATCTCAAACTTTTGGGACACCCTGTATATCGTCTATATTTACTTCAGCTAGGCCTGGTCAAAATAATAAATTCTAAAGCACAGTATATTGTTGCAGACACAAAGAACAATAAATGATAATACTGAAATTGCTTTATGCCACTGACACAATAAAAATAAAGCAGGATAATTCCAGTAAACCAATTATTAAATGTACAATAGAATCAAAAGCCCTGAGCTGTAATAAATAAATAAATATTGATTTATTCAAGCCTCTACAGCTCAAAACTTATCTTGTCACAATAATTATTTACTGATTTTAGTTTTGATAAGTCTAACTTCAGCAATATAAATCGCTCTTCAAAATTTGTTATCATGACAGGCCTAGCCAATATATTATTATTATTTTCAATCAAATGTTTTTAAAGGGGCAACGGGGTTAAAAAGTGGCCTCTGCACACGTAGCTTAAGTTTGCCATAACTCTGCTCAAAGTCCTTTTTCGTCCCATTGAGAACGTCCAGTGAACCTGTCCTTATGTCGTAACCGTGCGACTTCAGTTTCTGTAGACGGTAGTTGACGATTTGTGTGGTCAGCTCCAGGACAGTGGGCGTGTCTATGATCTGAGATATACTGATTCCAGCTCTGAGCAGGCCTTCAAACCGGTCGGCCAGGATGTGTTTGGGGTAGTACAAAAGCGCGGGGCATTTCAGGACAATCCCTCGGAGCTGTTCCTCGGAGCAGGCCATCATTTCCTGTGAGTAAAGCAGAGTTTGGTTCATGCTGTCTGGGTTGAGTTCAGTGACAAAGCCCCTGAGTTTGGAGAGCAGGTGGAGGAGCTCTGCTGTTGTGAAGCCTTTGTCTTTGAGGAAGAGTAAATTCTGTCTCAAGATGTCAGGAGATTTTAACAGAACAAATGGGTTTTGGCTGAGTAGTTTCTGCAACCAGATCTTCATATTGTGTTTCTCTCCTCCCAGGTCTATGTAGGACTGCTGCAAAGTGTCCACCATTACTTGGTTTTGCTCCACTGGGCGACTAAAGCTTTGAGGTGCGCTCGCCATGAGTTTAGTAATGATTCGTTTGTTGAGATTCAAGCTATGAAAGTACGCAATATTGTTCCGCTGGTTTTTCGTGGTGGCTGGCTGATGTAAAGAAAGAAGCGGGGAACTTTTCTATAATACCGACTAGCTCCTTCTTGTTCGTGCACACAGATGTCCACAGTTCTTTCTGAGCTTCCATCTCCTCAGGGTTGCAAAGGACCGCCTCAGGGTGCACGACTAAAACGTTGGCGATGACAGCCCCTGAAGCGCCCATGTCCCTCAAGAGGCGAGCTACCTCCTTTGCATACGCTGGGTGCTGATGCAGAACCCAGCCCTTGAGTTTTCTAACCTTCTGGATGTCCACTGCCAGATCATAGAAAGTGTCCACGGTCTGTTGGTTCTCGGCTGGGCTGGCGGTGGTGCCACATGGTCTGACGGGCAGAGGCAGGACTGGCACGCGCCGGCACTGGAGGCACAGAGAAGTCGCGACCAAGCGCAGCATTTATGCAGCTGGGAGTGAATACCTGAAGAAGAGAGATTAATAAGAAATAGACAACAATGAAAGCATATTATGTTTTAATGTAAACTAAAGTTAAAGGGCCTATATGATGCTATTTTTTTGATGTACTGTTATATTCATCAGAGTTCTTGTTTCACTCAATGATTCATACATCTCCATTACCATGATGACTGTAGCTGTTTTTTACATTACATAAGATTTACTCTTGTGAGCTTTTAGTCATATCATAATGTTGTTACCTCATCAGTATTTCATTCAGACATGTTTGAGTAATCCTTTATTTAGTCCGTTTACATCCCTAAAGCTCAAAAAGCCATAGTTTTCAAGTTAACAGCTACCTTGATTACCTAATGAGCTGTTTTATTGAATACCCGTGGTTTAAAAAAAAAAAAAACTATTGAAACAGAAACCAATTGAAAATGTTTTATATTGTCATATTCCTTCATTTTATGTCAATTTGGAGCACTTAAATGGCCCATATTATGCTATTTTCTGATCATTTTCTGATATGTTATAATCTTTCCTCATCAAAAACATGCCTAAAGTTGTGTTTTGGTTCATTCATACATGTTTAACACACAAATCCTGCATGTTTGGACTGAGTTCTCTCAGAAAACACTCTTTTCCACATTGTGACGCAATGGAGTAGTACAGGAAGTGCTTCGCTGTGTTTTTAAACTCCATACACCTTCAGTACAATCATTTGGATACTTTCAGCCCTGGAATTTCCTATCTCTACTGAACTAAAGGTTAGAGAGGTTAACTTGAAAACTTTCACTGCATGACATCACAAGGTGAATTTTTGGGTTATTTTTTATGTGTGGGTTTGGAGTACAAACTGGTCCAGATTCAGGTTGATTTAACTGAAAATAAGTGTGTTACAGATTTCCTTTAATATTTCATATGTCCATGAGGTTGAGCGGTATCTTTTGTCAGAAGCTGGACAAACAGAAAATAAAAAGTACACGGGCCCGTATCAGCCCTGTTGGAACATAAACAGGTTAAATTTCAACCTCGAGCTGATAGGCAAACGAAGATCAAAACTCCCTGCTTGTTTATGACTTTTCTAATAATAATAATTAAGGGTGTACTATATCTAAATCTCTCAGTACGATATTTTCGCGATATACATCTCACGGTACGATATTTATTGCTGTATTTTGTGTAGGTTAACAAAACTGTTAATATGCAACTTTTTCCTCTTAAAATGCCTTGACAAGACTTAATCCAAAGAACTAAGATTTTAAAATGCTTGTAACAGTTATTTCTTCAAGTAGTCTGCATTAAAACAGAGCAAAGGATCATGGTCTATGTAGTCCCCACTGTTTTTAGCTGTTGTGCATTCACTCTTTAATTTTAAGTGAAGAGATAATTTGATATATTGTGATAGTCCATGGTTATTGTTACATCCCTGATATTTAATCTCATTGTACACTTGTTTCACAATACAAGCGTTAAAATGTTGCTCAAAAACATACTTGTATTTTTTTGCTATGTATCGGTAAGTCATGAAGAATTTGAATTAATTAATTTATTTTTAATTTTATGTGATGCTTAAGGTTTTTTAGTGACTATTTGGCACCAACAATAAGCTTTTTTTTTTTTTTTCTTTTGTTGTAGAATATTTGTTCTAAACTGAAAATGTCAATAAAGAAAGGACTTGGATTTGTGTTTTGTTTCATTCACACACATTAGTCTGTGTACATCTCTACAACTCAAAATGCTCCGTTTCAAAAAAATGTAATAGGAATTTTATCTGAATTTCTCTTGGACTTTTTTGCCTCATTACAAGTCCCTACATCTCATGCTTAGGACATCTGTTTCGGCTTTGACATGAGAATTGTCAAGACCCAGAAAATCCTCAATCTGCTGTCTAAGGTCAGCTCCAGGAACATCAGCTATACCTGTTCTTTTATTTACCCCCCAAAAATATAAGCAGAATTTGAAATCTGTACGCATCTGACCCACTCTCATTTTAAGTGGGAACAAGTTCTACACAGAGGAAAGTCAAACAGCAGAGGTCAAAACTACAGCGCCTCAACTTCACAAAGAGTCCAGCCATTCATCTGTGCTTCAAAGGGTTTATAAACAGATTCAGTTTGAATTGAGAGTTATTTTGGTCAGGCATTTTAGGAAAAACATAAGGGGTTAAGGTTTTGAATTTCACCATCCATGCTACTCAGAGGACTTTCCCTGTGTTAAATTCTGTACAGCTGCTTTTAAAACCCAATACACTGCATTAGAAGCAATTTGCAAATCTTGTAGTTGCCTCCACAAAAAAATGTAATAAATATCGTATGGATGCATATCAAGAAAATATTGTACAGAGAGATCCAGATATCATTATATACCCCTAATTATTATTATTATAAAATATATAAACAAGCAGGGAGGTTTGATCTTCCATTGCATATCAGCTCAAGGTTAAAATTGTACCTGTTTATGTTCCAACAGGGCTGATACAGGCCCTAGAACTTTTTTCTGTTTGTCCAGCTTCTGACACGATAACTCTCAATCTCATAGACATGTGAAACATTAAAGGAAATCTGTAATCCACTTAATTCATTATTTTTTTTAATAAAGGGGAAAGACGTTATTGCCCCTCTTCCAACAGGATTTGGGAAAAGCTTAATATGCCAGTTAGCCCCGTCAGCGGCACATTACATACATCACGACCAAATAGCAGTGATTGGTTAAATTTTTTAAAAAGTACCCGCCTACCGTTGAAAGAACGAATTCTAATGCTGCAAGGTCAGACGGTTTCCACGAAGTGAAACTGGCTGATGAATCAGGCTAATCTGCTTCAGCTTTGACATGGGAATTGTCAAGACCCAGAAAATCCTCAATCTGCTGTCTAAGGTCAGCTCCAGGAATGCCAGCTATACCTGTTCTTATATTTACCCCCAAAAATATAAGCAGTATTTGAAATCTGTACGCTTCTTACCCACTCTCTTTTTAAGTGGGCACAAGTTCTACACAGAGGAAAGTCAAACAGCAGAGGTCAAAACTACAGCGCCTCCATTTTTCTGTGCTTCAAAGGGTTTAGAAACAGATTCAGTTTGAATTGAGAGTTATTTTGGTCAGGCATTTTTGGTAAAATAAGGGGTTAAGGTTTTGAATTTCACCATCCATGATACTCAGAGGACTTTTCCCGTGTTAAATTCTGCACAGCTGCTTTTAAAACCCATTACACTGCATTAAAAGCAATTTGCAAATCTCGTAGCTGCTTGAGGGAGCAGCCTTCACGCGGTGCACAGTCACGCCTGTTTACCCTCTGTTCTGATGAGGCTCACTTCATGTTTCATTCATTGAGCTTCGTAATATTATGCCAATTACTCATCTATTTATGGTGTGTTAAAGAAATTCTCGTTCAGCATTTTCCCCACGGATGATACTCGTACAGATGCTGCCCTTACGTTTTTAATTTCACATTATTTCAAAATAAAAGCCCGATCTTATATTAGGCAACTAGTGCTAGCTATGTAGCATGTTAGCCTGACTGCAGAAATATCGTCTATTTTATGCAACTTAATACGTTTTACATGCAGTGACAGCTAGCGGGATCTATCCAGTGCCCCAATAGTGTTTAAAATAAATTCATTTTGCGCATAAAGCATAATTCTGTTGAGAAATGTGGCTGTAGTTACCTTCAAAACCGCACAGAGGTTTGTTATGAAACTGTCTTCTTCTGCAGCCGGTGCGCCTCATCAGCTGTGGGCAATGCGCCATCTAGCGGCAAAACAGAATTACACTTTATTTATCCGCAAGGGAAATTATTTGGAGTAGCTCACGTCACAACATAATATAATAACAAAGAGCAAAATATAATTGTTAATAATAAATTCAAATAAGTAGTAAAAATAGCAAGGACTTGTGTGAATTAAGGCATAAAATGGTAAAATTGACTGCCATCATAGGGTGATTTGTAGCAGTTTTATACAAGAAATGTCCCAGGTGTCCTATTTTTGACAAATCTGATACCTGCCAACAGTAAAGAGAGGCTTAAATTGCTCTTGTTTAGGTAAAATACAGAAAAGCTGATTAAAATAGCCAAAACACAAAGAAAATATGTCTGTACTGACTCATGTTGGTCATGAATGGGGCAAGTGCAGAACAATTTTCCTTAATTACACACTCGTTACACTTTCATTTTATTATTACCAACCACTCCAAACTGAACATGTCCCAGTTTTTGATTTTGAAAATCTAGTCACCCTAATTTAGACAGACTTTATTGATCCACAAAGGAAATTATTTGCACACAGTAGCTCACACATCAGAATATAATATAATAACAAAGAGTAAAACATAATTGTTAATAATAAATTCAAAATAAGTAGTAAAAATAGCAAAAGACTCATGTCAAATAAGGCATAAAAGGAAGTGCAAACATATGGTGACCAGATGTCCCTATTTACCAGAGAAAGTCCCAGTTTTGAGCCCTATGTCTCCTGTCCCAGCAGATTTATCCAAAACCACTGATTTGTCCCAGTTTTATAGAAGAAATGTTCCAGGTGTCCTTATTTTTGACAAATCTGATCACTGCCACTGGTAAAGAGAGGCTTAAATTGCCACTTGTTTAGGTAAAATACAGAAAAGCTGCCTAAAATGAGTAAAACACAAAGAAAATGTGACTATACTGACTCACATGTTCGTCATGAATGGTCCGAGAGCAGAACAATTTTCCTTAATTACACACTTGTTTCACTTTCATTTTAAACCACTTATATTTGGGGGCTGGGACACTTCTGGTTTGGGGTGGGTGGTAATAATAAATAATAAAATTGTGAAATGAGTAATGATGTAATTAAGGAAAATTTTTATGCTATCGGACCATTCATGACAAACATGTGAGTCAGTACAGTCACATTTTCTGTTTTGGTCATTTTAATCAGCTTTTCTGTATTATACCTAAACAACTGGCAATTTAAGCTTCTCTTTACTGTTGACGGGGATCCGATTGGTCAAAAATAGAGACACCTGGGACATGTCTTGTATAAAACTGGGACAAATCACTGGTTTTGGATAAATCTGCTGGGACAGGGGACACAGGGCTCAAAACTGGGACTTTCTCGGGTAAATAGGAATGTCTGGTCAGCTATGTTTGCGCTCCCTTTTTTGCCTTATTTGACACGAGTCTCTTGCTATTTTTACTACTTATTTTGAATTTATTATTAACAATTATATTTTACTCTTTGTTATTATATTATATTGTGATGTGTGAGCTACCGTGTCCAAAAAAAAATATTCTTTTTTGGATCAATAAAGTTTGTCTAAATTAGGGTGACTAGATGTTCAAAATCACAAACTGGGACACTTCCAGTTTGGGGTGGTTGGTAATAATAAAATGAAAGTGAAATGAGTGTGTAATTAAGGAAAATTGTTCTGCACTTGGCCCATTCATGACCAACATGAGTCAGTACAGTCATATTTCCTTTGTGTTTTGGCCATTTTTTAAGCAGCTTTTCTGTTTTTTACCTAAACAAGTGGCAATTTATGCTTCTCTTTACTGTTGACAGGGATGAAACTGGTCAAAAATAGGGACACCTGGGACTTTTCTTCTATAAAACTGGGACAAATCACTGTTTTTTTATAAATCTGCTGGGACAGGGGACACAGGGCAAGAAACGTCCCAGGTGTCCCATTTTTGACCAAATCTGATCCAAACCAGGACTAAACAAGACTAAACCAAGACTACATTAGATCTAAACCAGGTCTGAAACAGGATTCTCACAATTTTTGACTAATCTGATCCCTACCAACAATAAAGAGGAGCATAAGTTGTTATTTGTTTAGCCAAATACAGAAAATTATCTGAATTTTGTTTATAACAGCCATCCCAACCCGGGTGTGTCCCAGTTTTGAATTATGATAATCTGGTCCCCCATTACAATCACAACTGTCAACTGAGCCTGAGCCCTGTTAGGTTCGGTAATACGAGCTAATTTTGTTGTTTTATTAATATTGCTTCTAAACAGTCTTGAAATCTTGCAGTTATTCCTTGTAAGTCTAGTAATTAAAAACGTTGGCATAATTGGACATCTCCACAGCGGTTGGGGAGGATACAAACCCTGCAGCATACGGACCCTGATGAGTGTAATCAGAGCAGGGCTGAATTGGGCTCAGCACAAGGAGAGTTTTCTCACAGTTGGCGCTTAATCATGACGCTTGATCACTAGCACTGCAAGCTGTTCCCTCCAGCAGTATTGGACCCACTGCTACACACACACACATGCACACACACACGCACGCACACGCCTCATTATATGTTACACACCAGTAAACAGACAGCGAGCATGTCTCAAAGGCAATATGTTAAAATTCTTGTAAAAGTAAAAAGCAACAACCAAATTAATGTTGTTTTTTTTCTATATAATTTCATTACATACTGTTTGAATACGATTTAAATGTCCTATATTAGACAAAAATTTCTCCTGTGAGCTTTTACCAGTGTTATAAAGCTGTTACCGCCTCAAAAACAGACCTGGAGTTGTGTTTTGTTTCATTCACACATGTTTAAGGTACCCTGGTTTATTAGTCTCTAAAGCTCATCATGCTCTGTTCCACCTTCTGTGTTCACTGTGGTTTATTTTGTGCAATCATAAACGATAAACTCTGTGCCTTTGTAAACTTTATTATCGGTTTGTACGACCATAAACGAAAAACAACAACAAAAATCTTACATTCTTCATTCTCATTTTGCTTATTTTGATACGATTATAAATGATAAACGTCTGTGCCTTCTTCATCATTATTATTAGTTTGTACAACCATAGTATGAAATTTATTTTACTATATTATGTAAATATTTGTAAAGTTCCATCAATGTGCATAAGAAACCAGATAATTTTTGAAACTATGAACAGGGGTGGGTTAATATAAGTTTTTTCTTCTTCCCAATCCTTTTCAAGAAATGTGTAGTATATGTATGATTATTGTTTCTCTCTTGGTACAAATTCGAAATAAAACTGATAATGTATGCAAATGTTTGTCTGCTGATTAAGATCATTCATGCTCATACTGCTGCTACTTCACTAAAAGTTTGTTTCTCTGAGCTCTAAAACCAGCTCCGGAGCCGCTCGATCCACGGTGCAGGGCAAGTACAGGATCCAAAAATGCAGGACGGCATTTGGAAACTCAGCCTTTTCATGTGCAGTGGTCCATCAGTGGAACATGTTACCAAAAGAGCTAATCATGTGCACAAACTACGTCACGTTTTCACACCTGGCAAAACACTGGCTCCTTTCAAATCAAACCTGTGCCCATAATGTGGACTGATGAGTGTCTGGAGAAAGTGTGATGTTCTGGAGTGAATGAACTGAATGACGCTTTTGATAAGGATGACGATTTTAAGATGCTGAAAGAACTGGGTGTGAATGACGATACAGAATTGTTACGATGTTCCAGACATTATAAAAACGTTCTCTTTGCATGTCTGATTTTATAAACTATAACATCAACCTGCCCAGGGACGACAGGTGGAAATTATCACTGGCACTACAACCTGGTACAAACCATCACTCATGTTAAGGTTAAAGTAGATTGTGCACTGTCCCTGTCTCATTATATAAATAAACTAAACTACAAAAAAACTAATAAAAAAAACCTTGTGATGTCATGTAGCGGTAGTTTTTGTAAGTTAACAGTTGCGTTTTACCGTTAGTTCAGTAGAGATTGCCAATTTGTGAAGGTGAGTGACACACAAACACATTTATTTATATTTTTTTATTTATTTTAGTTTATTTTAGTTTTAATATATATAACTTTATTTACAGACTCAGGGTCCAAGCCGTACACAGATAGACACACACCCACAACACACTACATTCATATATGGGCCCGGTCAAGCAGAAGTATACAGCAAGGCCAAAAATTCAAGTTAATGTATCTGATATAAAAATTATTCAACAGATACACATGTACTCTAGTTTATGAAACTGTTTACCTTTTTTCTGTACCATTTTTGGTTCTAAAGTTACATACGTTTTAAACAGACCATGTGTGAAACATGGAACAAAAATTATTTCCCAAATTTCAAAGACCCAAAAATCATGTAAATAAATGGATGTATTTCATCATATCTTGTGTTATTTCATCTTTGAACTGTTTATGAAGGTACATGATTTTTCAAAAAAAAAAAAAAAAGTATTTAAAATGATAAAATTTTTTGGAAGGACTGACATATTTTATAGAAATAGTTACGTTTCATTTTGAAGTAATATTAAAGTATTCGGAAGAAAAAAGCGACAAATAATGCAAAATCCTGCACCTTCTACTTGTTTGCACAATTTTCCCTCCGTTACTTTTCCCTCCGTTACCATGAACTTTCTTAATAAAAAATCTCATTACTCAAAAAGTAAGAGGTTTTTCAACCTAATCTTGTACCATATGGTAGAAAACTATATGAAGCAAATATTCAAACCAGTTTGTTAAGGATATGTAAGTGAGAACCGGTAGTTATCACCTGCTATCACCGGTAGTTATTATTGCCCAAAAAGTGCTGCATATTTCATTTCCTTTGTTACCGACATGAGTTTTACAATTTTTTGTCAACAACTTGAAAGAATATCACAGGTTTAACTTTACCCTGTTGGAGTGTTAACTCTTTCCTACATTCTGATACTTAAATTATTTCAATAGTCCCTCTAGTTTCTGAATAAGAGCTATTTGAAAGTAAAAAATCTGCCCCTGTTTCCCTCCGTTACCACTTGACCGGACCCATATAAACCCACCAGCACACACACACACACACACACACACACACACACACACGCACACACACACACACACACACACACACACACGCGCACACACACACACACACACATACACACACAAAACCTTTTCAGATGCCAGAATAATATTGGGTGTCACTTTCCTTAATATCAGTCAAGCATGTTATAATTCTATTTCTTGATTCATTTCACCTACACATAAATTTATACATGAGGTTTCTCATTAGAGCCTGAAATGTGGGAATATTTGCAGTCACAAACAAAGCACTAGCACTTTCCCACCTTGGAGTCTTTAGCAGAATTCTGAGAGCATCATTATATGCCACCTTGATCTTTTTCATCTTTGCTTTGCTGTAATTCAATCATAGGTGAGCTGTGTACAGTGGGGTACAGTATGATCTAAAAAGAGTCATTTTGACATTGTTTGTACACATGTGGAATTTGCGTGCCAGCATAATAATAATAATTTCACACAAGTGGGTGCGTGAACGTGACACAACAAACATGGCTGTGTGTTGTCAGCAGTTACAAGTCAGGATAAGGGAACACAAACACAACATAATATTATATAGCAACAATACAATACAAGACTGATAAAAGAGGAAGAGAAAAAGATAATAGGAAGGGGAGTAAAGTTCATTCAGAGTCCAGGGGAATTTCACACTCGTAGGAATCCACTTTGTCAGCTTTAGGTCCATTCATAAATTTCCGAGATTTTATATATAATTTGAGTCCATTTTTAAAACAAGCAAAGTTAGAAGGACGCTTGTTAGTCGTGAATTGTCCGAGAGCAGAGCAATATTCTTTAATTACACATTCATTTCACAATTTTATCATTTATTATTACCAACCACCCCAGTCCCAGTCCTAAAATATAATTGTTAGTAATAAATTTAAAATAAGTAGTAAACATAAGGCATAAAAGTGACCATAGGGTGACCAGATGTCCCT